AGGCACACATCCCTTTTACTCACATTCTCTGGGGTAGAGCTCAGATAAGGCAATATCCACCTGCAAGCAGGACAGGGAAGTGTAGACTAGCTGTGTGCTGAGGAAGAAAAGGAACTTCAGTCTTTGCCACAAAAGTCAAAGCACTCTATTTTACTTTTTGTGACTTGTTTTATAAACTGTTTGGCAATAAAGAAGATTAAAAAATGAAGCCAGGCAGATTAAAACAGAATTGAGGAATCAGCCACTTATCATTCAACAAGTATCTGAATATCTGTTATTTGCCAAGAAGTGTGCTAAGTGCTGTGAGACATGTTCCTTGTCTTTTAAGGGCTTGTAGTCTAGTAAAGGTTTAGTAGAAACTAGTTCAAGGGAGACTGATCGAAGTCTAATCGCATCAGTGGGCCTGACTGGTAGAGGATGGGACAGATCACCATCTTGGTGAAGAAGAGATCAATGATGGGTAAGGGGCCAATCTCCAGGTAATCATCACTTTGAAATCATATAGCAAAGACCCAGAACCAACTATCTGAGCTGGGGCCTCTAGAAATGGGACTATGGGAGTGAGTGATCAGAGAGATGACACACATAAGAAAGCCATTGTAGAAAAAGTGTGGGAATGGGTAAAATTATGTTTGGCAAAATGATTTTCATACATTCCCAGTTGTTTTTATTTTCTTCTAACACCTGAGGGATATGACACATTTTTGTTAGTCACTGTGGTAGAGTCTCCAGGAGGGGTTCAAATACTTAGGTTTGGAGGAGACTCAGTTAAGTGTCTTTGGGGCCTTGCAGAGTTTGAAAAGTCCACGAGTGATTCTGATCTCCATGCCTTTCTTACCAGTGCACGTTGATCATGGAGCACTCTCTGACTTTGCTCCTTGAGGAATCTCGAGCAGCTTCTAACAATAAGTGCCCTGTAAGAGAGGTGCAAAGTGCACTTGCTGTCTAAAGGAGGGAGAAATACCATGGGCTTTGAGGGACTCAGGGGAAAGAGAGGTAGCACTTGAGCACCTTTATTTTGATAAAGTTATATTTGCACTGTTGGTTTAAAAGCATCTATCTTATCTAATAAAGAGGGATATGCAAATTGACCAACACTCCATAATGGTCAAATGGCTGTGCCCACAGCGGAGGCAGGGATTCTGTAACACAAGATGGCTGCGCCCACAGCAGAGGCCAAGTTCCCATTATGAGACTTAAGCAATCAGCAGGGACCTGAGGCTGCATGGTGCTGGGCCAGGGCAGGGGACCTCAGGTAGTGCTCCCCGCCTGGTGGGGCTTGACAGGGGACCTCAGACCGCACCCCCGCTCTGGCACTGGGCCATGGGACCTGAAGCCACGCCCTTGCCCAGCGGGGCTTGACAGGGCACCTCAGGCTGTGCCCTCTGCCTGTGGGGCTTGACGGGGGACCTCAAGGCCCACCCCCCGGTCTGGGCTGGGAGACCTCAGGCCACGCTCCCCACTCTGGCACCGGGCCAGGTGACCTGAGGCCGTGCCCCCCACCTGGCAGGGCTTGACAGGGGTGGGGCCAGCTGGGTCTGGATCTAGCCCAATGGGGGTGGGGCCAGCCAGGTCTGGGTCTCACGTGATTTCGAGGCGCATGTGGGTGGGTGGGGACTAGACTCTGGTTCCCGTGGCATGCCCTAGACCAGCCGTGGGCAAAGTACAGCCCGCGGGCCGGATCCGGCCCGTTCGGCTGTTCTATCCGGCCCGCGGAGCCGAAAGAGCGGAGGGTTCTCTTGCTCTCCCCTCCGCTCCTTCACCAGCAGCAGTGTTAACATGGCAACGTTGGGAAACACGGCCGCAGCTCCTTCTTCTGAGTCCAGTTTAAGAACCCATTGTGGCCCTCGAGTCAAAAAGTTTGCCCACCCCTGCCCTAGACTCTTGACAGGAGGAAGATTTTCATATACATTTTACTAATTTTCTTTCATCTCTGACACTTTTATTATAGAGAAAGGGCAAATAGCAATATTAAAATATTTCCTCTAATTAAGTCCCTTTCGATGTGCACAAATTTCGTGCACTAGGCCACTAGTCTATATATATAAAAAGCCAGTGACCAGAACTCTGTAATGACCAGAACAGCTGGTCACTATGATGCCCACTGTGGCCAGCGAACTGGCCAACCTCCCACAGCCCCTCCCCACAGCCGGCCCCGCCCCTGATTGCCCTCCCCACCCCAGTAGAGGGCAGGGCCAGCTGGCAACCTCCTTTAGCCCCTACCTCTGGCTGGCCCTGCCCCCGATGGGCTCCCACCACCCCGATTGGCCCGCAGCCCCTTCCCCCATCCTGCCCTGCCCCTGATTGTCCCCCCAGTGGGTGGGGTTGGCCGGCCAACCTCCCACAACCCCACCCCCAGCCACTGACCCCTGATCAGCTCCCCCAACCCCATTGAGGGGTGGGGCCAGCCAGCCCACTGCCCATAGCCCCTCCCCACAGCCAGCCCTGCCCCCAATCAGCCCCCCCAATTGGGGTTGGGGTCCCCTGGCCAATCACCTGTGGTCCCTCCCCCCAGTTGACCCAGCTCTGATTGGCCCCGATCTAGGCGGGCAGGCCGGCCAACCTCCCTGCATCTCCTCCCCATAGGCCCAGCCCCAGCCTGCCCTGAATTGGGCCGGGCCAGCCGGACCCCACCCATCCATGAATTTGTGCACACTGGGCCTCTAGTTATTAATAAAAATAAAGGGGCGGTTAGGATTTTGCTATAGTTTTAAAAATATAATTTTGCAAGAGTGTTAATGCTATTAAAATATACCTTATGCACCTTTTAAGAGATACTCAGAATGGTGTAGTTGATATGTAATTCTTTTGACATTTCAGTTGGTAGGTCTTATCAGCTTCAATGTGGGTGTCACAAGTACTTTCATCTATTTTGTTTCATTTGAACCTCATTTAACTATTCTGCAAATTCAGTGTGGCAGGTTATTATAATCCCCATTTTTAATGATGAAGGAATCGAGGCTTTTAGTGATTAATACACCTACCAAGTGGAAGAGGTCTTCTGACTCCAAATCTGAATATACCATGCAGCCTTGTAGTGAAATGTTTAATGAAGGGCTCCTGGCTTCCAGTTCAGTGAATCACAGCACATCCTCTCTCAGACCTGAGAGGCAGGTTAACTACAATCTAATTTTTTTAACCTTTAGCTAAAATCAGAAAAGTAATTTTTGACATATAAATACAATAAAAGTGTTAGCTCTGCATCCCAGGTTTGCAGTCATGGCTCAGGTGACACCATTCCAAATGAAAATATAGGCAGCTGTATTAGTACCCCGAAGCCAGGTTGCTTAGTTTAGGTACCCTTCCCCACAGAAGTTAACTTAGCCCCTTCCATGATGGCTTCTTGCCAGAATACTGGAATGTTGGAATATACCAGAACTCTGGAAGCAGAATACGGTGTTCTTCCATTCCCTCCCCTTACCTCTTTCTTTTGCTCCAGTGCCTTTGTTAGATTTCTGCAAACATTTAATCTTTCAACAAGCATTTAAGATTCAGATGAATTTTACAAAATAAATCCATAAATAAAACTCTACCTTTGTCCATATTATCTACTTTTATAAAACAGTTTCTTTTGGGTATTTTTGGTGTTTTCTTGTCTGGTATGCTACATGTAAGAGTTCCTCCATGTGGTCTTATTTTTTTTAAAAAAAATATTTAAATATATATATGTTTTTTTTTTCAGAGAGGAAGGGAGAGGGAGAGAGAGATAGAAACATCAATGATGAGATAGAATCATTGATTGGATGCCTCCTGTACGCTCCCTACTGGGGATCAAGCCTGCAACCCGGGCATGTGCCCTTAGCCTGGAACCGAACCTGGGACCCTTCAGTCTGTAGGTGGACACTCTATCCACTGAACCAAACCAGCTAGGGCATGTGGTCTTTTCTTGCCAAGTTCCACATGAAAGCAAATTCCTAGTGATCTAGGGCTTAGGTTCCTCTACTGCCCACCCAGCCTTACCACTCTGACTTTGCTGTGTTCTCATCCTCCTTTGTTCTTTCAGTATTTATTGACCATGTACTGTGTGTGTGGCACCATGCTACATGCAGAGGGTACAGCAGAGGAAAAGATGTAATATTTTTTTACCTTCTTTGACTCTTAGTCATGTGATTAAGACATAACTACCTAGTTGGTTATTTTCAATGCTTCTGTATTTTTAATGCACTGGGGAAGGATAGGATAAAGCCATTCCGTACTTTTTACAGAAAAAAATCCAAGATGCACTGTATGTGTATGAGCTATTCTATGCAAATCTGCTGACAGCCTCTATTTTGTACCTTTCCAAAAGCTGAATTTAGCGGTGTATTATAGATTTGGGTGCACAACTAAAGACTTGAGACAAAATTCTAGGTACAATTGCTATAATGTGTTGCTAATGGAGAATATGAGATTTCCTCCTTTGAGATCTTTCTAAAAGCGGACTTGATTCTCTTATATTTGGGAACCTCGCTCCTATCCTGTGCCCAATGCTGAGATCTGAGGGCTAAGAGGCTGACAGTGTAGTCTTCTGTAGGAATTTACAGTGACTGTTTTGTTTGTCATTGCGTTCTGCTTCTGAGACTTGGAGAAGCTGGTATATATTGTACAGAGGATGATGGATGAGTTTGTTTTTGAAAAGTTATAGCCAACTCATGATTTTTATGGGAGCATAAATGCCTGGCTAAAGTCAAGTAAAAGATGCCAGATCTCAATTTATCCACTACTGGCAACTTCCTTTTGAAAGAGTATTTTATGATCAGGGCTTCTAGAAAGTATAAGTTTAAAAAAAAGTCTTTTTAGGATCTTATTTTTGGATTTTTTTCTTAAATTTTTGAGGAAGAAATGCTAAGAAACTATGAAATGACTAAAAGTTGATGTGAAGGTAGAGAAGAAGAAAAGGGTTGGCTAAGTGGTCCACAGTCACTGTATTCCTGAAAATTAAGAATAATTTTCTGGCTAGCTTGTAGAATTGATAGTAACTAACAAGTGTCCCATTTCTTTTGCCAATTGGTGTAATACAGTGAGACGGTTTAAGCGGAAGCATCTTACAGCCATCGACTGCCAACGTTTGTCTCAAAGTCACTTGGCTGCGACCCAGCCCTTCAGTCAAAGATGGACAAACAGAGACCCGAACCATGGTCTCTATCCTAGACCCAGAACAAAAAGAGGGACTAAGGGTATGTCTTCCAAAAATATACCTTGCATTTAGAATCTGTAGTGTGTGTGGCTTTTGAATGTCTCCCAGTATTTGTAAGTATTATTGTAGTGATTTTGTAGTCCTGTTGCAACATTTTGACACTTTTTTCATTATTTGTGCATTTTCCATGAAAATTGCTTCCTATTGTAAGTGGTTGGTAAAGGCCCCAGGAAAACATGACTGAATGAATTCCATGAGCTTGCTTAATTATAACATGGTAGAAAACACATACCAATATCACCACTATTCTAATCTAGAACCATTTTGATTTCTAGACTCTGCAGTAATCTTCTTTGTCCAATTGCCAGTAGGTCCATTGTATCATTATTTTTCTCCAAAATGTTCCCTCATTCAGTGATTTCGTGGTAGACTGTGTCCTTGGTTACCTCAGACCTGGACTGCTGCAGTAACACTTTTCCTTGCCTTTAGATTTTATTTCTTTCAAACCAGGTGGAACACACATCAAGATAATATTCTTGATTACCATTTCCTGTCATGTCACTGCCACTCAAGAACCAACAGCGAAATGTCCCCATTACTATTATGGACCCAAGCTCAAACTTGCCATCACCTGATATTTGTTATTTATTACATGCAAGTTCTGTATCATTTCCCTATATGCCAGATGAATTCCAACTTTTAAAAAAATTAATTTTTTTCAAGAAAAACTTTTAAATATGTTATATGCAATAAACATTAATATTTCAAGAAAAATGATTTTAAATATGTTACATGAAATAAACATTAATATTTCAAGAAAAACGATTTTAAATATGTTACCTGCAATAAACTTAATATTTCAAGAAAAATGATTTTATATATAATATTACATGCAATAAACATTAATATGTCGAGGAAAAAAGATTTTAAGTAAAATATTACCAATCATCTTTTAATAATAGATGTATGATCCAGATTGCCTTATTTCCCTTTGATATATAATTTCATCATCCAACTTAAATCTTATCCAGTTGTCTTTAAATATTGTGTTTTTAATCACTTCTGGAAGTGCCATAACCAATTTATGAGGCAGTTTTAAACTAACTGGTTATATTTTGTTTGTTTTGTGTAGATAAGTCAACTTCTCTATTGTGAATTCTTTTTGATAAAGACTGTTAGCATGTGTATGTTTCAATGGGGTGTCCTAGCACTGAGCATGTAGTAGACTCTTAATAGATATTGCTGTGATTGAATTCTCACAATTAGAAAATATCAAGATTTAACCCAGGCCTGTTAACTTCAAATCTGGGTTTTTATCACATTACCCCAGAAACAGTTATAGTTTTATTTTCCTAACATAGAAAAAAAAATTAAATTCTTTTAAAGGCCAAACCTAGGATTTTTTCCCATTTTTTTCAGAATGTTATAAAAACATTCTAAAATGATTTTTTTAAATATATTTTAAACACATTTTTAAAAAATATATTTTTATTGATATTAGAGAGGAAGGGAGAGGGAGAGAGAGATAAAAACATAAATGATGAGAGAGAATCATTGATTAGCTGCCTCCTGCATGCCCCACACTGGGGATCGAACATGCAACCCAGGTATGTGCCCTGATTGGGAATTGAACTGTGACCTCCTGGTTAATAGGTCAACGCTCAACCACTGAGCTATGCAGGCCAGGCAAGGCTAAACTTAGTTTTGTTCCACTCTCTTATTTCCAAAGTAAAAATTCTGGCTACAGTCATTTCAGAAAGGAACCATGTATTTTGTTGTATATTGATAAAGTGTTCATTGGCATTTTACAATAATTTATAAGAATTGCCGAAACCGGTTTGGCTCAGTGGATAGAGCGTCGGCCTGCGGACTAAAAGGTCCTAGGTTCGATTCCGGTCAAGGGCATGTACCTGGGTTGCAGGCACATCCCCAGTAGGAGATGTGCAGGAGGCGGCTGATTGATGTTTCTCTCTCATCGATGTTTCTGACTCTCTATCTCTCTCCCTTCCTCTCTGTAAGAAATCAATAAAAATATATTTAAAAAAAAAAAAAGAGTTTAAAGTGCAGTAATGATGTATGAAATCACCTTTTGATTCCCCTTAGTGCCTGAAAAGTCTTTGAGATCAGGGACTATATTGTGCCATGCCAGCATAGCCAAGGGTGAACCTGAGGAGGGGCGGTGAAGGATTAAAGAAGACAGACAGGAGAATACAGCTGGGGCTAGGTGGAATCACTGTGCCTGGATAAGGAAACAGTGATCCAGCCTGTAAGCCAAAGCTTTATTTTATAGTCAGAGCACACAAAGCAAAACAAGAGAAGTGGTCAGCATGTTTACAATGTTTTTGTGAGTTTCACCTTGTTTTGGTAGCACTTGCTGCACCTCCCACAGCCATTAGCTACTTAGGAAGGAGCAAGGGAGAACTATAAGGTCAAGCTTAACCATGCCAGGAGGGCTCTGCCCTCCAAGCTGGGACTTGTTTGTGGCCCTGCCACAGGTCAGTCCGAGGCTTAACTCTATAGCCACTCCCTACACTATATCATTTTTCATTTTATTTTTGTCTTAGAATCATAGGTGCTTATGAATAAATGTATAAATTAGATTAGATACCACTCTAATAATCTGAAGAGAATTCCAAGTCCTTTCTTTTTATTTTAAAATAAATTAACGTGTCAGCTGCATAGGAAGAAATGAAAATAAAACGGTTTTAACTCTGTCACATGGGAGAGTGGGTTTTACTGAATCCTGATAACCTGAAGCATTTTTCTTTCTACTTAAGAAAACTTAGATTTTTTTTATTATAAGAGCAAGCTAGGAGGTGTGAATTTTTATAGGTGGATGTGTGAGTGAATGTGGACAGTTGTTTGCTTTGCCCATTCATATGTTCAGTTTGTATATATTACAAAGTATAATATGGTCCTCACACTATCTGAAGACTGGTTTCTGTCATTCCATATGTGTGTCTAACTATATGATGGAGCCAGATCTAAATGTGTTGTTGTTTTTTGAGGGGGGGGGGGCTGTTTAAGCTCTTTATATAATCATTTAGCCAATAACTATATTCTTGTCTCTTAATTGAAATTAGTTTGTATCATTTGGGTTAACAACGGGTCAGCAGTCATTATTAATTTCTTGTTACTCTTTTTGGGTTCTCTGTGCAGGTCAAGGATGTCAAAGGTACATCACTGAATTCTTCCCAGCTGGCCAGCGGCAGTGTACCAATGACATGGCTAAAAGCAATTCTGTGGGCCAGGACAGCTCTAAGGACTCAGAGGGTGAAATGATGTTTGTTACAGAAAGCAATTGTGCCCTCTCTCAGGAAGATGATGGAGAAGCAAGACTGGGCTCGTCAGGCTCTGCTCTGCTGGTAAGGAAGCGCTCTCGGTCCTTTGAGGATGAGAGGAATCAAGCTACAGGGACCAGTCACTGGCATGGGGTTTCTAAAAAACCCCCACAGCATTATTTGCCCCTGTCCTGCACAAAGGCCAGGGAAGCTAGACTGGAAGCAGAGGGCTTTTTGTCATGGCTCTCTGCAGAGACTGAAGAACCCAGCCAAGAAGTGGAGAACATGGATCATGATCCCATTCCTGACTCTTACTATGGACTTCTTGGAACCTTGCCCTGCCAGGAACCCCAGAGCCATATCTGCAGCCTTCCCAGCGAAGTCCTAAGGCACATTTTTGCTTTCCTCCCTGTGGAAGATCTCTATTGGAATCTGTGCTTGGTGTGCCATCTTTGGAGGGAGATAATTAGTGATCCACTGGTATGTAAAACACTTGGAGTTCTCTGATGTTTTCTCTAAAAATAAAAAGATTAGCTTCCCTAATACATACTTCTTTTTTTTTTTTAATCTTTATTGTTGAGAGTATTACAGATGTCTCTTCTTTTTCCTCCCATTGCCCCAATTCCACATTGTTCCCACCCTGCCCCAGGCCTTCACCACCCTATTGTCTGTGTCCATAGGTAATGCATATATGCATTTAAGTTCTTTGATTAAGCTCTTCCCATCCTTTCTCCCCTCTTCCTTCTGAGATTTATCAGTCTGTACCATGTTGCCATGTCTCTGGTTCTATTTTACTCATCAGTTGATTTTGTTTATTAGATTTCTTGTTCATTTATTTTGATTTTTAGATTCCATTGTTGATAGATATATATTTATTTCCATTTTATTGTTCATATATACATATTTTTCCTTCTTCTTAAAGAAGACCCTTCAACATTTTATGTAATACTGGTTTAGTGGTGATGAACTCCTTTAGCTTTTTCTTATCTGTGAAGCTCTTTATCTGTCCTTCAATTCTAAATGATAGCTTTACTGGGGTAGATTAATCTTGGTTGTAGGTCCTTGTTATTCATTACTTTGAATATTTCTTGCCACTCTCTTCTGGCCTGCAAAGTTTCTGTTGAGAAATCAGCTGACAGACATATGGGTGCTCCCCTGTAGGTAAGTAACTGCTTTTCTATTGCTGAGTTTAAGATCCTCTCTTTGTCTTTAACCTTTGCCATTTTAATTATGATGTATTTTGGTATGGGATTCTTTGGGTTACTCTTGTTTGGGACTCTGTGTTTCCTCAGAGACTATTTATTTCACTAGGTCTATTTCTTTCATCAGGTAGGGGAAGTTTTCTGTTATTATTTCTTCAGATAAGTTTTCAATATCTTTCTCTTCTCTGGCACCCCCATAATGCAAATGTTGGTATGCTTGAAGTTGTCCCAGAGGCTCCTTACATTATCTTCATATTTTTTTATTCTTTTTTCTTTCGCTCTTCTGATTGGGTTTTTTGCTTCCTCATCAGATCACTGATTTGATTCTTGGCATCCTCTGCTCTACTGTTGAATCCCTGTAAATATTTCTTTATTTTAGTTAGAGTATGCTTAATTCTGGACTGGTCCTTTTTCATGTCTTTGATGTTCTCACTAATGTTCTTGAAATTCTCACTAAGTCCCTTGAAGTTTTATTAAGATCCTTGAGGATCCTTATAATGATTGTTTTGAACTCTGTATCTAGTAGTTTGTTTGCTTCCATTTATTTTATTTTATTTTTATAATTAAATCTTTATTGTTCAGATTATTACAGTTGTTTCTCTTTTTTCCCCCATAGCTCCCCTCTACCCAGTTCCCACCCCACCCTCTGCCCTCACCCCCCTCCCCCACTGTCCTCATCCATAGGTGCACGATTTTTGTCCAGTCTTTTCCCAATCCCCACCACCCCTTTCCCCCACAAGAATAGTTAGTCCACTCCCTTTCTATGCCCCTGATTCTTTTATAATCACTATTTATTCTGTTCATCAGATTATTTATTCACTTGATTTTTAGATTCACTTGTTGATACATGTGTATTTGTTGTTCGTAATTTGTATCTTTACCTTTTTTTCTTCTTCCTCTTCTTAAAGGATACTTTTCAGCATTTCATATAATACTGGTTTGGTGGTGATGAACTCCTTTAGCTTTTCCTTATCTGTGAAGCTCTTTATTTGACCTTCAATTCTGAATGATAGCTTTGCTGGATAAAGTAATCTTGGTTGTAGGTTCTTGGTATTCATCACTTTGAATATTTCTTGCCACTCCCTTCTAGCCTGCAAAGTTTCTGTTGAGAAATCAGCTGACAGTTGTATGGGTACTCCCTTATAGGTAACTGACTTTCTTTCTCTTGCTGCTTTTAAGATTCTCTCTTTGTCTTTTGCCCTTGGCATTTTAATTATGATGTGTCTTGGTGTGGTCCTCTTTGGGTTCCTTTTGTTTGGGGTTCTCTGCACTTCCAGGACTTGTAAGTCTATTTTTTTCACCAGGTGGGGGAAGTTTTCTGTCATTATTTCTTCAAATAGGTTTTCAATATCTTGCTTTCTCTCTTCTTCTGGCACCCCTATAATTCGGATGTTGGTATGCTTGAAGCTGTCCCAGAGGCTCCTTACACCATCTTCGTATTTTTGGATCATTTTTTCGTTTTGCTTTTCTGGTTGGGTGTTTTTTGCTTCTTCGTATTTCAAATCTTTGGCTTGATTCTTGCGATCCTCTAGCCTGCTGTTGGAACTCTGCATAATATCCTTTATTTCAGTCCGTGTATGCTTAATTTCTAGTTGGTCCTTTTTCATACCCTTAATGGTCTCACTAGATTTCTTGAGGATCTCACTACATTTATTGGCAGTCTCACCCGTCTTTTTGAGGGTCTTACTAAATTTGTCGGCGGTTTCTAGAAAGTTCTTGAAAACCTTAAAAGTGTGGTTTTGAACTCTATATCCAATAGTTTGCTTTCCTCCATTTCTGTCATTTGTGTCCTGTTACTTTGTCTCTGCATTTTGGCTGCTTCCCTGTGTCGGTAGAGTGGCTTTCTGTGCTAAGTGTCCTATAGGGCCCAGTGGCTCAGCCTCCCCAATTACCTTAGGTAGACACTCTTGGTGCACCACCTTGTGGGCTTCGTGCACAGTCTTGTTGAAGTTAAGTCTTGATTGTTGTAGGTAACACTGGGAGGGATTGACCTCCAGGCCAATTGGCTGTGAGAATCAGCTGTGTCTGCAGTGGGAGAACTTCTGTGCTAGAGACACTTCTCCGGGACAAGGCTTGCTTCAGTGGGGCTTTGGTGCTCACTGAGTCTGCCCCCTGAATGTGTCCTTTATGGATCCGAGGAGCTGCAATCTGGATGGTCCCACTCTGACTACCAGGCACATTGGTTCCTGGATCTCTCAGGAGGTGCTAATTTAGCCTCTGCCTGAGGCTACCCAGCCGAAGCCAGGTGTGAAGCAATGCAAGTTGCCCTGGGGCCTTGGGCCAGCTGCAGTTTGTTAAGTAATTTTCAGATTGCAAAGGGCCAGGCCTTTCATATGCAAAAGCCTCCGTGGACGGCTTGGGCGAGGCGGGGTCCCAGGGGATCAACAGGGCGGATGGAGCGAACAGTTATGGCTGCTCTCAGGCTTGCCCGCTCCCGGCATCACAATCGCTGCGAGTACCTCTGAGAGAAAGCTGCCCTCAAGTTCCGACCGATGCCAGACAGTCCCGTTTCTCCCGTATGAGTCTGGGTCCCCAGAGACTCGCCTGGAACTGGAGCGCAGAGCTTGAGACTCCCTCCCGATTGAAAAAGACAACCGTGTCCTTAACCGCCAGCCCTCTCCACATGCACCTCCTCTGAGTCTTGGTATGCTTTTCTCTTTTCTTCTAGTTGTAGAATTTCCACTCAGCCAGCCTTCCTGTGGTTCTGGATGATTTCCGTTCCATCTTTTAGTTGTATTTTTGAAGCGGTTGTGCAAGGCAGCAATCTCCGGTGTTTACCTATGCCGCCATCTTGGTTTCCTCCTGTTTTCTTCCATTTAATTTAGTTCTTTTTCTTTAGATATTTTCTGTTCTTTCATTTGTAACATGTTCCTTTGTCTCTGCATTTGGCTACTTTGATGTTTTTGTTTCTGTGTATTATAGTGGTTCTCAACCTTCCTAATGCCATGACCCTTTATTACAGTTCCTCATGTTGCAGTGACCCCCAACCATAAAATTATTTTTTGTTGCTACTTCATAACTGTAATTTTGCTACTGTTACGAATCGTAGTGTAAATATCTGATATGCAGGATGTATTTTCATTGTTACAAATTGAACATAATTAAAGCATAGTGATTAATCACAAAAACAATATGTAATTATATATGTGCTTTCTGATGGTCTTAGATGACCCCTGTGAAAGGGTCATTCGACACCCAAAGGGGTCCCAACTCACAGGTTGAGAACTGCTGATGTATTAGGTAGAGCTTCTGTGCCTCCTGGAGTTGGTAGAGTGGTTTGTGTAGTAGGTGTTCTGTATGGCCCAGTGGCTCAGCCTCCCTAGTCACCTGATCTGGGCACTCTAGGTTGGACCCCTATATGGGCTGTGTGCAATGTCTTATTGTAGTTGAGCCTTGATTACTATTGGTGTCACTGGGAGGAATTTACCTCCAGGCCAATTGGCTGGCTGTGAGGACCAGCTGCAACTACTGTTGTTCAGGGGACACCCCTATGGTGTAGGACTTGCTTTAGTGGGGCTTTGGTGCTTACTGAATCTCCCCCTTGAGTGTGTTGCTTGTGGATGTGTAAAGTAGTAATCTGGTGTTGTCTGAAGCTATCCACTGGGAACACTGGCTCTGGGGCCTTCTGGGAGGCGCAAAGTCAACCACTGCCTGGGGCCACCTGTCAGGAACTACAGAGCAATCTGCAGATGGCTGCTACTTGTATCGGGCTTAGAAGCGCCCAGGTGAGGCCAAGCTGTGAAACAAGGCAAGCTGGTAGTGCTGGGTCTTGGACCTCTTATTGACAGGTATGGGGCACTCTGACACCAGATGCTGCTTGTTTGAGAAATTTTAGGAGAGTCTGGACCCTGAGACAGGACAAGCCATTCATGTGGAAAAGCTACTGCAAATAGCTTGGATGGGGCTACAAATTGGGTGGGGCAGGGTCTCAGGAAATCACTGGGGTGGAGCAAACAGTTTGAGCCAGGTTGATGGAGACTCAAATATGGTTGCCAGTCAGCTCTGCAGTGGCAGAGGTCTTCGCATAGGAATAATGGACTCTGAACAATGAACCCTGTGTGGGAACCCCCAAGTTCTTGCCCCTATTCCAGACAGTCCAATTCTCCATATGTCTCTGGGTACCCCACAAGCCGCTGCCCCAGTGCTGGAGCTCAGAGGGAGTGAGTCTGAGTAAGTCTGTGCCTGGGCCTTTTAAGAGGAACTGCCTGGGACTCTGGCAGCCTCCATATCATTCAGCCATAATCCCTGCTGGTTTTCATAGTCTGAAGTTATGGGATGTCTCTTCCCAGTACTGGAACCCTGGGTTGGGGATCTGGTGTGAGGCTGGCACCCCTTGCTCCTCCCAGGAGGCCTCCACAGCTGAGATATCCCTCCCAAATAAAAATTGCCACATGTGGGTATCAGACCAGCTCATTCTGCACCTCTGCCCCTACTATTAGTCTCAGTGTGATTTTTTCTTTATTTCTCTAGTTGTAAAACTTCCATTCAACTAGATTTCAGGTGGTTCTGAATGATGGTTGTTCTGTATTTTAGTTGTAATTTTGATGTGGTTTTGGGGGGCAGTGAGTACCAGCATTTACCTACGCCCCTATCTTGATTCTTCAATAATACTTCTGATTATAGTATTTAGTTTCCATTTGCCTCCAGAATAATATCCAAATTCCCTGGAGGCAGGTAAGGCTTTCCATGTTTGTCCCACTTTATTATCCCAGCCTCATTGCTCACTTCTCAGCACACCCTTGTGTTCTATCCACAACGCGTGATTTGTTGCATTCCAACCAAAGACTGCATATTTCTTTACACGTGTTGTCCTAACACCCCTACTCACACCCATATGTAAAGGTTCTTCATATCTGTTTTGGTATGCTGTGTTTTGTTTTCATTTGTCTCAAGGTATTTTTTAATTTCTTCATGATTTCTTTTTTGACCCATTGCTTGTTTTAAGAGTGTGCTGTTTAATTTTCATGTATTTGTGGGGGTTTTCTTTTCTTTTTCTGCTACTGATTTCTCATTTCATTCCACAGGAATTGAAAAAGATACTTTCTATAATTTCAATCCTTTAAGATTTGTTAAGATCTGTTTTGTGCCCTAGCATGTGATCACTTTTGGAAAATGTTCCATGTTCACTTGAGAAGACTGTATTCTACTGTTGTTGGGTGGAGTGTTCTGTGTAGGTCTGTTAGGTTCAATGAAATGATTGTTTCCTAATTGCTCTTCTGACTGGTTGTGCTATCCATTTTTGAAAGTGGAGTATTGAAGCCTCTATTGCTATTACATTGCTGTCTATTTCTTCCTTCTATTCTGTTGGTGTTTGTTTCCTAGATTTAGGAGCTCTGTTGTTAGTACATATATACTTATAATTGTTACATCTTCTTGGTTAATTGACCCTTTTGTCATTGTATAGTCTTCTTATAATATAATTTCTGAGTTAGTGTCTCTCTTGTCTGATATTAGTATAGACACAGCTTTCATTTTTTTAATCATCATTGGAACTCTGAGCCATTGTGTGCTGATGTTTCGATAGTGAAATTGAAGTACTAGCTTTTCCCAGATTCTATGTTAAGTTAGTGTTCCAACCAAAACCAAGACCTAGTTCTCCTAGTTTCCAACCAAAATTTGTGTAATGTTTGTACCCTATTTGCTCAGCTTTTGAATTGTGAGTTATAATTGCCTTTTTAAAACAATATGTTTTTATTGATTTGAGAAAGAGAAAGAGAAACATCAACATCGATTGGCTGCCTCCTATATGCCACCTGCTGGGGATTGAGGCACAAGCCAGGTATGTGCCCTGACCTGCTATTGAACTGATGACCTCCTGTTTCATGGATCAGCACCCAATCACTGAACCATACCAACCAGGGATAATTGCTTTTTATTGGTAGAAGGCAATCCACATGTTTGTGGCCTAATCTCTCTAATAGCCATTGCCTACAAGTTATTTTGGATTTTTTTCAACTATATAGTTCATTCCTTGGAAAAAGCTGTATCATCGATACCTGATGAATGAAGAGCAAGCTGTCAGCAAAGTGGATGGCATCCTATTGAACCAGGGTATTGAGAAAGAGTCGGATCTTTGTGTGCTGAACCTCATCCGGTGAGTTGCTTTTCTCCTTTGAAGAAGACAGATTCTGAAGTCCTTTGGCATATATAATCACTTAGGATCATCTTTCTCATGGACTCCTCTGTGAATGTCTTACAGCTATACAGCCACCACTAAATGCTCCCCAAGTATGGATCCTGAAAGGGCACTGTGGAGTCTGAGGGATCACCACCTCCTTCCTGAGGCAGAGGCCTGTGTGCGTCAACACCTCCCTGACCTTTACATCACTGCTGCAGTAAGTGAAGAGGCTGTGGGGAATTTTTGGGCAAAGTGACACATTTTTCTTATTGGAAGAAAAGTGTCTTGGTGATTAAGTTTGGCCAAAGGTTATTTTAGATTTATTTTAAAAATCTTTCTTTAATCTCTGTTTTGAAGCCTTAATCCTGTCATTGGTCCCATTAGAGAAGTAAAAGTCCACATTGTTGTAGATTCTTTCATTGGTCCCATTAGAGAAGTAAAAGTCCACATTGTTGTAGATTCTTAAATCTGGAAGTAATTTTAAAAAGTATTCAGTTCAGCCCTGGCCAGCATGAATCAGTGATTAGAGCATTGGCCCTTATACCAAAGGGTCTCGGGTTTGAATCCCGTCAAGGGCACATACCTGGGTTGCAGGTCCCATTCCCTGCACTGGTCTGGGCGCATATGGGCGGCAACCAATGTGTCTGTCTGTCTGTCTGTCTCTCTCTTTCTCTCTCACCTGCCTTCCTTCCACTCTCTAAAAATCAGTGGGAAAAATATCCTTGGATGAGAATTAACAAAAAAACACACATACACACGCACACACAAAAAACCCCCTCTAGTGCATATTTAGAGAATGGCCTCGGTCCCAGCATTGCCATTCTGCTGCCGAGAATGAGTAATGAAGTTTGTGACTGCATAAGTCAGAATTGCTCAATAATTTATTTACAAGATTTGTTCTCAGAAGATATCAGAGATCCTGTCAAGATTTAAAAAAATAACAACCCAAAACATTCAGTTCAGCCCTGGCTGGTGTGGCTCAGTTGCTTGAGTGTCTTCCTGTGCACCAATATGTCGCCAGTTCGATTCCTGGTCAGGGCACATGCCCAGATTGCGGGCTTGATTCCCGGTAGAAGGTGTACAGGAGGCAGCAGATTGATGTTTTTCTCTCACATCAATACTTCTCTCTCTTTCTATTCTTCTCCCTCCCTCCCCCCCCCCCCCCAAATAAATAAATAAATAAATAAATAAATAAATAAAAACATTAAAAAAACACATTCAGTTTAATGTTCCATTCCGTTGAGGAATCCTTAACAGAGGATGGTTATCTAACCTCTGAACACTTTGATTAATAAGGATTTCTTTACAGGGCAGCCCATTCCATCAACAAAGTGGGTTATATGAGGACCAGAGAAATTCAGGGTCTTGTTACAGATGTATAATGAGTTAATGAGAAGCTGGAAATAGTCCTGAGTTTTCTGACTTGTGGCTTCTCATTTAGATCATGGATTTTCAAATTTTATTTTGGAAGCTCGGTGCAACCTCAACCTGTATTCTGCAGCCAGTAGAGGACTGAAAACCCATCCATGTGCATTTCTCTTTCTGTTTTCAGTGAAGTGATTGTTGATGATGGTGGAGTGAGTTTTCTTTCACAGGATGGTTATAGTGAGAGGTGTAGGGAATGTACCTTTATTGGAATGCATTTTTTAAACAGAGAGACTTGTAGTAAAGTTAATGATAAAGATATATGTCCCATTATTGACTATTTCCATGTTAGTGAACATTTTCTTAGATGTTACTAAGTGGAGCATACTGTGTTGTAATAATAGATTTTCAATGATTTATTTCATATTTATTTAACTTAATATTTAATCATTATTAAATAATAACATACAGTGAGTAGTAAATTAATATCTTAATGCCAGAGAATTGTCAGTCTTGACTTCCCCCCCTAAAGAATGCTGTCTTCTTTTGTATCTCCCATCTTTTGTGCCTCCCAAGTAGGCACCCATTTAATAGTGATACTGTTGTGACTGTTGAGTATCTGTGAATCTGAGATCTCATACTGATGTGGAGAAGAAGGGTGGGGAGGTGAGAGCATCATTTCAATGCTAGAGTCTATGTAAAATATTTAATACATGTTATTTAGTTGCACTAAGCACTCAAATCCAGATTGATTAGGAGAAAGGAATATAGCCTTGGTTGGTGTGGCTCAATTGGTTGGGCGTTGTCTTATGCAGGAAGAGGTTGCTGGTTCGATTGCTAGTCAAGGACACATGCCCTGTTGCTGGCTCCATTCCTGGTAGGGATTGTATAGGAGGCAGCCAGCCAGTGTTACACTCTCACATCATTGGTTCTCTCTCTTCTTTTCCCTTCCTCTCTCTCTAAAACTCAATAAACTATTTTAAAAAATATATACCATACTTTAAAAAAGAAGAAGAAGAAGAAAGAATCCAGAAAGGTTGCCATTATTTCCCAGATATCATTTGGGAAGTTTGCATTCATTTTAGACAATCTGTGGATGGCACCTGATCCCCAGCCTTGGGTTTTTTCACTGGTTGTCTGATGTGATCTTTATTAATTGTGACCTGTGTTTTGGGGTCTTTTTTCCCTTCCTTGTCCGTTTCCCTCTAGGGTGTCAACGTGTGGGCTTTGGTAGCAGCCATTGTTCTCCTCTCCAGTAGTGTGAATGACATCCAGCAGTTACTCTTCTGCTTCAGAAGACCAAGCTCCACTGTGACAATGCCAGACATCACTGAGACCTTATACTGCATCGCCGTGCTTCTCTATGCCATGAGGGAGAAGGGAATCAACATCAGCAATCGGTAAAGTGGTGGGAGGGAGAATGAAAACTCCGATAGAGTGAAAGGTCCTAGACATGCAACAAGTCCCAACTCTGCCACTTGCACACTAGGCAAGCCATAAAACTCACACAGCTCAGTTTTGTTACCTAGTGAGGAGAGACAGATACTGCATAAGTAAATATGTTAAACAAGAACATTTTACTGAGTCATTAGTAGTGCAAAGAAAAAAAACCAGAGTGATAGGCAAGGGAAATGAGGAGTACTACCTTAGATTGGGTGAGAAAAAGCTTCTCTGAGGAAGTAACATCTGAATTGAAACCTGAATGTCAAGAAGAGCTGGCCATTTTTGGGGAGAGAGCATTTTAGCAGAAGGAATAGATAACTTAAGGGCCCAAAGATGGTAATGGATTTAGTATATACAAAGAACAGAGAAGTTTAGTGACAAGTATGTGGTGAATAAGAGGGAAAGTGGTATATGATTATGAGAGTCTGCAGTGACCAGATGAAGGAAAATGTTGTGTAGACCAGGTAAGGAGTTAGATGACATTTAAGGTATGAAGCGCAGCTCCTGGAAGGCCCTGGCATGGAGATAGGCAGTGTGACAGTGCAGAAGATCCAGGAGAACCATACGTTCTAGAGAGGAGATTCGGATTTCCTTTCTGGAATTAGTGAGACTTAGGAGGAACATGGGATGGCACTAGATGAACTGTGGCCAGTCAGTCATGGTAAAGTTCAAGGATGGAACATTTAGTCTCCAGGAATGTCAGAGTATTTGCTGTGTTTCTGAGATACATTTCAATTCATTCATTAAATATCACTTATGTTGTTCCCACTCCATGGCATTGAGATGTGGAAGAAGGAGCTTCATGACATAATTCAGACAAGACAAATACACAAATGATGAATAATGACCATAAATGCAAATATGAACCTACAAATTATCTGCACGTTTACATGAACCTAGATGAGGAATGGGAAACATGTATGTTGTGTTTATATCATTTTTTTCCTGCTTTACCTGGGAGGTAATCTTTTATTTTTCCACTTGTAGCAAGGATTGCTATCAAATTCCATTCATTGGGCTAGAGACCCTTGTGGTGTAAACGAAAAACTTGCCCCTCACATACACTTGTGAGTTCATTATTCTCAACTCCAAGCTCTAACAGTATACAGTCCTGGGAGATAATATTTTTTTATTTTTTATTTTTTATTGATTTTAGAGAGGAAGGGAGAGGGAGAGAGAGAGAGCTATAAACATCAATGATGAGAGAGAATCATTGGTTGGTTGCCTCCTGCACACCCTCCACTGGAGATCAAGCCCACAACCCAGGCACGTGCTCTTGACCGAAATGGAACCCAGGACCCTTCAGTCCACAGGCCGACACTCTATCCACTGAGCCAAACCAGCTAGGGCCTGGGCGATAGAAGGAGATGAGTTTCGGCTCATGTGAACATAAGAGAGATTTGGAGTGACTTGTGATGGGACATGTTTAACCATGTCCAGTGCCTCTGTTGAGTGCACTCTGTTGTCTTTGGTTCTTATTGGTGACTTGGAGGATGTTTTGTTTTCTAGTTCTTGGTAATCATATCTTGTTAGCCGTGTAGCACCCTTCCTTTGGAACCTTAAAAGATAGAAAGTGCTTCATGCTTCTATCTAAACCAATATCACCTCACAGGGAGCAACGGAGGCTCACAAAGATAAGACTACGTTACATTGATGTTGAACAAGAATCTCACTAGGAGCGGAATTTACATTTGTTTTCAACTGATTCATATTGTTTTTGTGATTATTTGTCTCTATGGTAGCAGCTAATGCCTTTTCCCCAAAGAGCATGCCCTGGTCTCTGTCCTTTTGCCATTGCACTCTGGAGCCAGGGTCTTTTCCAGAACTGTGCTCTCTAAGAGGGCTTTGGTCAGCTCTAGGTATATTTAAATTATTTTATTTCCTTCTTATCATAAAATGGTGGTAATTTTTTATTTTTATTTTTTTTTGGAAATGGTAAAGAATCTAAATACAACCGAGGAAAAATAAGATACAGATTATGACTTAATTTGATACTCTCTAAATCTGCTTTTTTCCTGTTAGGATTCATTACAACATCTTCTATTGCCTGTATCTTCAGGAGAATTCCTGTACTCAGGCCACAGAAGTTAAAGAGGAAACATCGGTTTGGCCAGGGTATGTATATAGATAAGTAAGAGAGAGAGAGGGAGAGAGGTTTTCCATTCTTGACTCTTTCTCATACTTAAGGAGGAGAGGTGTTTTGTTTTAACAATTTTATTGAGGTGTAATTTACATAAAATTCACCCATTTTAATTTTACAATTCAATGATTTTTAGTAATTTTACTGAGTGTGCAATCAATATCATAATCTAGTTTTAGAACATTTTTATCACCCCAAAAGGGAGATCTTTTCTTTGGTTAAATTTTGTTCATCTGATTTGCCTGTTTGGTTTTTGATAGTCTATCATCTGGTCTTTTCAATTCCATTGTGTTTTTCTAATTTCTCTTCTGTAATGATTATAGCAGGAAAACAACCATCCAACTTACACATGAACAACAGCTGATTCTGAACCATAAGATGGAACCTCTCCAGGTGGTAAAAATTATGGCATTTGCAGGTAAGGGAGCTCGCCAATACTGGAATAGAGAGTCAGGTTCTTGACTTATTACTGCATCCCCCTTCCCTATTACCTGCCAGAGTACCTTTACCTGGATTTGTTATTGAACTACTTCAATGAAATAATCTAAAAAGCAGTTGCCAATTAAATCTTGGTTTCTCTTACCACACCAGGGAGCATCCACATTCCTGGTGAGACAAATAGTTCATAGGAATTAGTTTGCAGAGTAATTACCAAAGGGATTGATCCAACCCGTCATTTATCATCATATATGCTCAATCACTGATTGCTTATGGATGGGCAGGTCACATTAATCTCCTTTCAGAGTTTCAGTAGCTCCTGATTTCTGTTGGGTGAAGTCTAGAAGGCCCTTCCACCATTTGGTTCTAACCTACATTCCTAAATATATTTTCGACTCTTCTCATGCCTCAGTCAGATCATTGTCCTTACAGTTTCTTAAAGTACTTAGTGATCTTTTTTCTGAACCTTTGGTCATGCTATTTTCCTACCTGGAACTTCTTTCCGGTTTTTTTCTGCCTACATATCTTACTAAAAACAACAATAGCAATTTCTTAAATGCCTGTCATGTGCCTGGCACTGTGATAATCCTAACAGCATTCTGTAAGGTTAGTTAGTTATCGCTGTTTTATAGATGAGGATTTGAAGCTCAGAGAAATTAAAATTACTAGCCCTAGGTTAAATAAACAAATAAGTGATAGAAGTAGAATTACTAGGTGTACTGGTTAATAATGCTGATTTTTTTCAATAGATGGAGTTACACATATGTTGATATGTATGCGATTTGATATGTATACTGTTTTGTTGTATTGCTCCTTCAGATTACAACTTGTTCCGATCGATAGCACACACGCTTTCTGAGCAGCACTTCAAAACATACAAAGAAGTGGAAAATTGGGTCTCTGACTGGTCTGCCTCAAAACAAGAACATTTCTATTGGGACGATATCCACAAATTACCTGAAAGATGGGGAAATGTGTAGCTAGCGGTGGACATTACTTTGAATAATACACTTTTGATGTTTTTCTTAAAATTATTGTGTTTTGTTTGGATTACAAAATCCGCATTATTAGCCGGTTAATAGTTACTCTGTATTATTAACCAGTTAATAATTAATCTGCATTTTAACTGGTTAATAGTTAATCCTCATCATTAACTGGTTAATAGTTAATCCTCATCATTAACTGGTTAATAGTTAATCCTCATCATTAACTGGTTAATAATTAATCTATATTATTAATCGGTTAACAGTTAGTTAATCCGTATTATTAACTGGTTAATAATTAACCTGCATCATTAACCGGTTAATAATTAATCTGCACTACTAACCAGTTAATAATACAGATTTTCTTGTTTTGAGGCAAACCATTCAGAGACCCAATTTTCCGTTTCTTCGTACGTTTTGAAGTGCTGCTCAGAAAGTGCGTGTGCCATCGATCGGAACAAGCAGTAATCTGAAGGAGCAAGGTCTGGTGAATACAGTGGGTGGGTTAATATTTCCCAGGCAAGATCTTTTAAAGTGTCTTTAACAGATTTTGAAGTGTGTGATGGTGCGTCATCATGAAGCAAAATTATTTGCCGTGTCTTTTGGCCCATTCTGGTCGTTTTACGATCAAAGTGTGGTTCAGATTGATTATTTGTTATCAGTAGCGACCAGTATTAATGGTTTCACCTGGTTTTAGAAGCTCATAATACACCACACCTTCCTGATCCCACCAACGCAGAGCATTGTCTTCTTTCCGAAGCAATTTGACCTTGCATTCGATGTTGATGATTGACCTGGATCAAACCATGATTTTGTGCGTTTGGGATTCTCAAAATAAATCCACTTTTCATCGCCATTCACAATTTGATGCAAAAAAGACTTTTGTGCCATTGAAGCAACATTTTACTGATGACTTTTTGGTTTCCCATTTGTCTTTTGTTCAGTTGATGTGGCAACCATTTTCCTTCCTTTAAAACAGTGGTTCTCAACCTTGGCTGCACATTAGAATCACCCTGGGAATCTTTTTAAAATCCTGATTTCTGGGCCTCATCCTCCGGAAATTCTGTTTCTTTGTTACTAATATTGTGGCCCCACCCCATAACAAAGAAACAGAATTTCTGGAGGATGAGGCCCAGAAATCAGGATTTTTAAAAGAATCCCAGGTGAATCTAATGTGCAGCCAAGGCTGGGAACCACTGCTTTAAAATCTTTCCCATTGCTTGTAAATGATTGGAAATTGTTTGCTGAGCAATGTTTAATCTTTCTGCAAGTTGTTTTTGAGTTTGACACACATTTTCATCCAATAATACTTGTAATTGTTGGTCGTCAAACTTTTTTGGTTGACCTGGATGTTCTTTGTTTTTTACATCAAAATCATCACTTTTAAAGCGTTTGAACCAGCATTCACAAATATCTTGAGATGGAGCATCTATACTAATAAAAGAGTAATATGCTAATTAGACCCGGAGACCTTCTGGACAAAGCCGGGGGCTTGCCAGCCTGCAAACCACCCCGAAACAGCCCTCAGCCCCTTGCCCAGGCCGGCCATGTCCCCCAGCCGGGACCCTCATCCTGAAGAGGGTGTGGCCAGCCTGAAAACGGCCCTCAGCCACTCATCAGGCTTGCCACATCCCCCAGTAGGAACCCCTACCCCGATGGGGGTGTGGCCAGCCTGCAAACGGCCCTCAGCCCCTCGCTCAGGCTGGCCATGCTCCCCTGCGGGGACCCTCACCCCGATGGGGGCGTGGCCAGCTTGCAGACAGCCATCAGCCCCTCACCCAGGCTGGCCATGCCCCTCAGTGGGGACCCTCACCCTGATGGGGGTGTGGTCAGCCTGAAAACGGCCTTCAGCCCCTTACCCATGCTGACCATGCCCCCCAGTGGGGACCCCCACCCCGATGGGGGCTTGGCCAGCCTGCTTCCACCTGTGTAGCAGGCCTCTATCTTCTATACTAATAAAAGGGTAATATGCTAATTAGACTGGGAAACCTTCCAGATGTCCTTCCGGACAAAGCCATGGTGGCGGGGCCAAGGCAGAGGCGGTTAGGGGCGATCAGGCCATGAGGGGAGGGCAGTTGGGGGTGAGAAGGCCTGCAGTAGGGGGCAGTTGGGGTGATCAGGCCGGTGGGAGGGGCAGTTGGGGGCAAGCAGGCCTGCAAGGGGGGGCAGTCAGGGGCAAGCAGGTCAATAGGCAGAGTGGTTAGGGGCAATCTGCAGGCAGGCAGGTGAGCGGTTAGGAGCCAGTGGTCCAGGATTGTGAGAGGGATGTCCCAGATTGGAGAGGGTGCAGGCTGGGCTGAGGGACACCCCACCCCCATGCACAAATTTTGTGCACCGGCCCACTAGTGTTCACCATAAGCTTCCCAAAGTATATGATAACTTTCAGCAGTACTTTTCTTCCAAATAAAGTAATGAATTAAAACTTCCCACAAATGCTCTATTTTTGGCACAAAATTTGACATTTTAGCGTAAAAATATCTATGATGTTAACACCTTTAGAAAATTTGACGTATGAAGTTTTGAAGCTTGTTGTCAATAAACAAAATAGCATAAATATCAAATCGCATATATATCAACATATGTGTAACTTCATCTATTGAAAAAAATTCGCATTATTAACCGGTACACCTAGTAAAAGCTGAATCTCTTTCTAAAAACCAGCATTTTTCCTCTTCCTCGCTTCACCCCCTTCCTCCCCTTATTCTTTGCTGTGTTGACTCCCATCATTTCTGGTTCTTCTTAATGGAGGCTTCTTTAGTCATTTGAGTCCTATATGATCTCTGAACTCTTACCTATAGCTAATTATACTTATTAACTGTTTCGTACCTGATTATATAATAGGAATAGCCAACACGCACACTTTATAAATACTACACTGTGTCATTCATCTTTAAAACAGCCCAATAAGGTTGGAAATGGAGTACTATTTTTCTTTTTTGACAGGTGAGATTTATTTTGTTTCCAAATCCATATTCTTTCTCACTTTACTGTGTTATCATTATACTCTTGTTTTGTTCTAATTGTTTCAACTGTATTGGTATTTTATTTCCAACTAGATTATATGGTAGGAACCTTGCTTCATGTTTTTTAATATACTCCTAGTACTTAGCATACAACTGTAAATGAACATATAGTAGGTACTCTACTCAAATAAATACTTTTTAAATGAATGACAGTAGACTAACTGAATGATTGAATGACTGGTAGAGAGGTAGGGCAGACAATAGAGTTCAGAATGAATCTTATTTGTATGCTCTTGCCATTGAAGCATTAATGAGTCCTAGGCCAGCCATAGTTACCATTTATTGCATTCTGCTGTTATTTTGATTATCTTTATCCTGCCTGACTCTACTGTTACTCATTCATGGCTGAGAAGCACACTGAAGTTCATTGAGACCAAGTGGCTTGCACTTCGATACTCAACTAACAGAGCCATGATTCCAACACAGGTTAATCTGGCTTAGAATCTGCTGTTCTTTTCACTATACTGTTGTTTATTTTTATCAGTATTGGAAACTTGTCATTGTCTAGTCTTAAGCAAGAGGCGAGATAAATGTGGATAAAACTTGATTAAGGCATTCTTTGGAACATTTTTTTTCTGGTCAGAGGGACATTTCCTTTCCTTTTGGTTTCCCCAGGCACTGGGAAGACATCTACCTTGGTCAAGTATGCTGAAAAGTGGTCTGGGAGCAAGTTTCTTTATGTGACATTTAACAAGAGCATCGCAAAGCAGGCCGAGCGAGTCTTCCCCAGCAATGTCACCTGCAAAACCTTTCACTCCATGGCGTATAGACAGGTTGGGCGGCAGTGAGTATTGTGTTGCCACCATTATTATTATGTCTAATTACTGTTTTCATGTTGCGATTATCATGATCACATATGGACTTATACCATAATGGCACTAAGAAAATTGAATGCTTTTATCTCCATTTATAGACAGGAAATAGAAAGATAGATGTAGTGATTTATACTTTTACCTGATAAAAATACACTGTTTACAAGTAATGTCTAAGGTTGGGCAATCTCTCTCATTTATCTGGAACTGCAGCACAGAAAGTCAGGATGACTTGTCTAGAGTTCAGAATATTAGCAGTATGATTGGTCAGTTTTAGGGTTTCCTTGGAACTGGGCAAGAGGGAGAAGACTAAGCTGAGGTGCAGTTGGCCCAGGTCTCTTGAGGCCTCTGAATCAGCATTCCCTTAGATATGAAGGCTTCAAGGAACTTTGAGTTTCCCTACTTAGGGGCCTCTTGGAGTTTGGTCTGCATCTTGAAGTAGTAGTAGTAGTAGTAGTAGTAGTAGTAATAGTATCTGCCATGAGCTACTTCATCTTCTGGGTTAATATATGTGAATTCCTGGAAGCCTAATGAAGCCATTTCAAATCATACATGGACATGGTTTAACTTCTCTGGCTTTTTCCCCCTCATGTATATGTGATACTGAGAGTGACCTTGTGGTGTCATTTCGGAGAAGGGGATTAGGAGTGGGGGGACACATTTTGTTGGCATTGCCAGTAAAGTCAAATACTGTTCATTTGGGATATGCATTACAGGTACCAGTCAAAGAAGAAATTGAATCTCTTCAAGTTAACACCCTTCATGGTCAATTCTGTCCTTGCTGAAGGGAAAGGTGGATTCATAAGGGCCAAGCTAGTATGTAAGACTTTAGAAAACTTCTTTGCCTCAGCTGATGATGAGCTGACTATTGACCACGTACCTATTTGGTGTAAGGACAGCCACGGACAGAGAGTCATGGTTGAACAGAGTGAAAAACTGGTGAGTATTGAAATATTGTTAGTATTAGGGATCTGGTGGTAAATGAGAAGAGTTGACATGATACAGTGTTATATTTGTCTTTCATTTTTTCATAATTGCTGGCAGGAAGTAATGGTGGAGGGTGAGACTATAGGCTAATCGTGATAGCTGGGAGTTATGAAGTGTTTTATTTGTGAAGAATACTCATGGCCATCTTGCTTAGTTCTCGCACTGGTTTTTCAATTTAGAAAATGAGGCACCGACCCAGGATTTATAGGAGTTTGTCACTGGGGCTGCTGGATGAATCTAAAGATTGGGAATCTCTTTTCTAATTTTTAAAATGTTTTTTTCAATCATTTGCCGTTCTTTTTATGAATTAACTAGAGGCCCAGTGCACAAAATTCATGCACAGGGTGTGGGGGGTGTCCCTCAACCCACCCCGCACCCTCTCTAATCTGGGACCCCTCGGGGGATCTCCGACTGCTGGTTTAGGCCCGATTGGCAGTCGGACATCCCTCTCACAATCCAGGACTGCTGGCTCCTAACTGCTCACCTGCCTGCCTGCCTGATTGCCCCTAACTGCTTCTGCCTGCCAGCCTGATCACCCCCTAACTGCACCCCTGCTGGCCTGATGGCCCCCAACTGCCCTCCCCTGCAAGCCCGATGGCCCCCAACTGCCCTCCCCAGCTGACTTGATCACCCACAACTGCCCTCCCCTGCTGTGACCTGCCTCCTTTGCTGGGACCCGCCTCCAGGCGGCTGAGACACCGGGACTGACCTCCTCCGCGCCGAGCCATGGGACCCCCAGGCCTCACCATGCAGAGTGACCACCGGGCCCTGCCTCCACTGTGCACACAGCCATCTTGTGGTGGCCATCTTGTGATGACATCACGTGAGGGCGTGATGCCACCTAGGATTTTATTATATAGGATTGTTAGTCATAAATCTAGAGACATGATCTAGCCTTTTCTAGTCCACCAGATTTTGTGTTGTCTGAGCAATGTTCTGTCACTGGGCTGTTGTGGAGCTGGAAGGAGGTTAGGGAAATGACTGCCACTCACCGAGCTGGGATGGTGCCTTTATTCTGACCTCTGCTCCTTATGTGGAAATGAAAGTGTGATTTCAGGGTGCTGTCTTTTCCAGGGTCTTAGGAGTTACCAATTACTTGTTTTCTAGAACAGTGTTCTTGAAGCAAGCCGCCTTTGGGACAACATGCGGAACCTGGGGGAATGCAAAGAAGAGGCTTACCAAATGACTCATGATGGTATGCAAGTTTCCAAATCTTCCTGTTCAATGTAACTGCTTTAGTTATGAATTCTGACTGTTGTTACTCCCTTCTTTTAGGCTACTTGAAACTCTGGCAGTTGAGCAAGCCTTTGCTTGCCTCTTTTGACGCCATCTTTGTGGATGAGGCCCAGGACTGTACCCCAGGTAATAAACTATTCTGGACATCAGTAGTCTCAAATACTTAGAAACAATGTCATCCTATCTAATAAAAGAGAAACATGGTAATTGGCGTATGACCGCTACCCTTCCCATTGGCTAATCAGCGAGATATGCAAATTAACTGCCAGCCAAGATGGCGGCCGACAGCCAGGCAGCTTGAAACTAACATGAGGCTTGCTTACTTCAGTGACGGAGGACTCCAATGTTCCCCGCCTGCTGCTGCAGGCCTCTGAGCCTGCAGTCTGAAACATTGTAACAAATATAGAAGATAAACAAAACCCCAGAAACCAGCTTTCAGTGAGCCGGGATCTCAGAGCTGGAGCTGATACAGTGTCTCGATTATAGAACCCAGCAGAGGCCTCAGAGCTGGAGCCTCAGAGCTAAAGCTGGCCCAGAATAAAAAAAAAAAAAGAAAAAATGGAGCAGTTGGGAGCTTCAGTCACCCGCGAGCCTGAAAACAGCCCTCAGCCCCTCACCCAGACTGGCCAGGCACCCCAGTGGGGACCCCCACCCTGATCCAGGACACCCTTCAGGGCAAACCAGCTGGCACCCACTTGTGCACCAGGCCTCTACCCTATATAGTAAAAGGGTAATATGCCTCCCAGCACCGGGATCAGTGTGACAGGAGGCAGCGCCCAAACCCTCTGATTGCCCTGCGGCTCTGTGTGTGACAGGGGGCGGGGCCACAACCTCCCTATCCGCCCTGCTCTGTTCGTGACAGGGGAAGGCGCCCCAACCTTCTGATCAGCCCTGCTCTGTGCATGACAGGGGGGAGCTCCCGAACTCCCTGATCGCCCTGCGGCTCTGTGTGTGACAGGGTGCGGCGCCCCAACCCCCCCACCCCCCCACGGGCTCTGCTCTGTGTGTGACGGGGTAGAGCCATAACCTCCTCATCGGCCCTGCCCTGAATGTGAGAGTGGCGGTGCCCCAACCCCCTGATCGGTCCTGCTCTGTGGGTGATAGAGGGCGGCGCCCCAACCCCCGCTCCCCCCACGGGCCCTGCTCTGCGTGTGATGGGGTAGAACCATAACCTCCCCATCGGCCCTGCCCTGAGTGTGAGAGTGGCGGTGCCCCAACCCCCTGATCCACCCTGCTCTGTGTGTGACGGGGTGGTGCCCCAACTACCCTTTGGCCCTACTCTGTGAGTGACAGGGAGGAGCTCCTCAACCCCCTGATGGGCCCTGCTCTGTGCGTGACAGGGGGGAGCTCCCCAACCCCCTGATCAACCCTGCTCTGTGCGTGACAGGGGGGAGCTCCCCAACCCCCCTGATGGGCCCTGCTCTGTGCGTGACAGGGTAAGGAGCCCCAACCTCCCTGATGGGCCCTGCTCTGTGCGTGACAGGGGGCAGCGCCCCAACCCCCTGATCGGCCCTGCTCTGTGCGTGACAGGGGGTGGCGCCGCAACCTCCCCATCAACCCTGCCTTGAGTGTGACGGGCGGTGCCCCAACCCCCCAATCGGCCCTATCCTGAGCGTGACTGAGGGTGGCATTGCAACCTCCCAATCCACCCTGCTCTGTGCATGACAGGGAGCGGCGCCCCAACTCCCCAATCGGCCCTGCTCTGAGCCCGACCAGGGGCTGCACCTAGGGATTGGGCCTGCCCTCTGCCACCCGGGAGCAGGCCTAAGCCAGCAGGTCATTATCTCCTGAGGGGTCCCAGACTGCAAGAGGGCACAGGCCGGGCTGAGGGACCCCCCTTCCCCCCCGAGTGCCCAAATTTTTGTGCACCGGGCCTCTAGTGATTATATAAGAGGATATGTATGTGAAATAAATTGATTATTCTCATTTGTCCTAAAGAAGAGGAGCAAGTGATACTTAGTTATTCAGAAAGCCTTTATTATTTGATTTTGGATTTCAGCAGTTGTCCTTTCCCCCACCCAAGGCAGATTAATTTTCCTCTAAATGTTTTGCTAAAGGCACAGGTCATCAGATGATAGGGACCTAGACTCATGGTGAGTGGGAAAAGATGGTTAATTTAGAGTAAACAATTTGTGTTGTATACTTTTCAAGTGGCTAATCCTATCTAATAAAAGAGTAATATGCAAATTGACCATCACTCCAACACACAAGATGGCCGCCCCATGTGGTCAAAGATGGCCGGCAGGGGAGGGCAGTTGTGGGTGTTTAGGCCAGCAGGGGAGGGCAGTTGGGGGTGACTGGGCTGGCAGGGGAGGGAAGTTAGGGGTGACCAGGCCTGCAGGGGAGGGCAGTTGGGGGCAACCAGGCTGGCAGGGGAGGGAAGTGAGGGGTGACTAGGCTGGCAGGGGAGGGCAGTTGGGGGTGACCAGGCCTGCAGGGGAGGACAGTTGGGGGCAACCAGGCCTGCATGGGAGGGCAGTTGGGGGCAACCAGGCCTGCAGGGGAGGGCATTTCGGGGCGATCAGGCTGGCAGAGGATGGCAGTTAGGGGTGATGGGGCCAGCAGGGGAGCAGTTAGGCATCGATCAGGCTGGCAGGAGAGTGGTTAGGAGGTGATCAGGCTGGCAGGCAGAAACAGTTAGGGGCAATCAGGCAGGCAGGCAGGCAGTTGGGAGCCAACAGTCCTGGATTGTGAGAGGGATGTCCAACTGCCCATTTAGGCCCGATCCCCACAGGGGTTCCAAATTAGAGAGGGTGCAGGCTGGGCTGAGGGACATCCCCCCCCCCCCGCATGCATGAATTTCGTGCACCGGGTCTCTAGTCCTATATAATAAAAGCCTAATATGCAAATTGTCCCCTTGGGCGGTCATTCGACCGGGAGTTTGACTGGGAGGCCAGGAGTTCGAGTGCTTGCTATGATGTGTGCTGACCACCAGGGGGCAGGTGTCAGCGACGCAGTGCTGGCAATGGGTGGCAGTAAAGGCGCTGCCAGCCCAGATGGGCCCCAACAAGAGCGGGACTGTGGCGGGATGATAGAACAGGTGAGCGAGCAGTGCCAGGCCAAGGTGGGTGTGAGCAGAGGCTCAATTGCCCCTCAGATGGTGACCAGCCATGGCGGTGGGGGGCGGGGCTGCCACCCGGCTCCCAGGCACTGAGGGAGCCAGGTGGGGGGGCCCCAGCCCTGACCAACTGCCCTGCACGTGGTGACCAGCGACAGCGGCGGGGGATGGGGCCACTGCCCAGCTCCCAGGCGCTGAGGGAGCCAAGCAGGGGACCCGGCCCCCATCGATCACCCCACAGGGGGGATGGTGGAGCAGGTGAGGGGGCGGCGCCACGCCAAGGCAGGGTTCCAGGCAGGGCTGCGAAGCTGGGGGCGTGAGCTGGGGCCTGATCTCCGCAGGCCACCCTGAGGGACCCCACCTCTGCACGAATTCGTGTACTGGGCCTCTAGTAGAAAATAGGCAGTGTGACTTTGTAGGTTATTTTGAGACCTTAAGTTATAATATTAGTGAGACAATATAATTTACCTCATTTTATATTTGCCTGTGTGATTTTTTATATACAAAAATGTGTTCAGGACTGAAAGTAATCTACATTCCTAGGATTGGAAACTCTTTTGTCTGTTGTGAAATCATTTCTTTGGACTGAGTGTGCCTGTACTACAGGACAAGACAACTCTGTTGTGCAGTGCGCCCTGGCTCAGTTTTATGAAAGCATTTTCATCCCTTTTTATCTGAAGTGTGGTTTCTTTTTGTGATGTGGGTTTCCTTTCTTTGAGATTCTTTCGTTCCCTCTTGTTGTTTGCAGCTATCATGAATATAGTTCTGTCTCAGCCATGTGGGAAGATCTTTGTAGGGGACCCTCACCAGCAGATCTATACCTTCCGTGGTGCAGTCAACGCTCTGTTTACAGTCCCTCACACCCATGTCTTCTATCTCACACAGGTAAGAGCTCTCTTTGCTCCTGAAGCACATAAACAAGCATTCTGGTTCACTATCCTTGTTTTTCAGTGGTTACTATGTGCTAGGACCTGTGCCAGGTTTTGTGTCAGTCTCACAGTATGTAGCCACTCCTTGCTTCTAAGCAGTGGTTCACTGTGGTTCTCAGGGTATCTGCGAAGCCCAATGGTTTTTATAATAGTAATTTGCTTTTTTCATTATGTTAATATTTGAACTGATGATGCAGAGCAATGGTGGGTGAAACTGCTAGTGCCTTCTCATGGACAAGGTGTTGGCATTGAACAGTACTAGCAGTCATTGTATTCTTTACTTCAGTGCACTTACAGAGTTTAAAAACAAAAAGCAACAAGAACTCCCCCCCACCTCCCTGAAAACCCAAAACAAAATAGTTCTGTTAAAAATGTACTTGATACAGAAAAAATGATTAATTTTATTAACTGCTGTCCCTTGAGGACATACATCTCTTTAATGTGATGAAGTGGGAGGTATGAATAAAGTACTTCTGCCCACTGAAGTATGTTGGTTGTCTAATGAAGAGCACTTTTGTGATTGAGTTGTGAGCTACACTGGCAGCTGTTTTCTTATAGTAGTACCATTTGTCATTGAAAGAACTGCTGACCGACCAACTCTGGTTATTTAGATTTGGGTTTTTAGCATTTTCTCTAAAATGAATGAAATGAGCTGTGACTCATTGCCAAGCGGGGGACCAGGAGCAAGTGATAAAAGCGGGGGAAAATCTTTGTTTTCAAGTGAAATCTAAATTTTGATGTCTGCCACTATGAGCATGACAACCCATGGTGTCCTTGATTGTCCAAAAAGGTTACTAAACTCCCCTCCCCTTTTCAATATGCATGTGTGTAAGGCTGAATTATCTTTGTCTTTCAACCAAAACAACATGTCACCACAGATAAAATGTAGACAGAACTGAGAATTCAGTTGTCTTCTATTCAGCTTGGCATTAAAGAGATTTGCAAAAATGTAAAACAGAGACACTTTTTCTTCCTGCTAAATGTTTTTTGTTTTAGAAAATATATTTTAAAAGTATGTTCTTTGTGTTATTATGCAATTGGGTTTATTATTATTATTTTTAATGAATCAAAGTTTCTAATGTGGTAACATAGTTAGATACAATTCATAAATAAAAGCTCCTTCAGAGCCTCAGCAATTTTTAAAAGGGTAAAGAGGTGCAAGAACCACTGTTTTTAAGAAACACTTCCAGTTAGAGGCTATGAGATGTGCCAACTATTCAAGAGTAATCTGAACTGTTTTGTTCTGTTATAGAATCCTGCAACCTTCTCTGTGACTTTATTCTTTTGAGTTCCTGTTGTATTCTAGGGTGATTTAGGGTAATGTCAACTCAGAGTAACTTTTTTTAATAGACATTTTCAGATTTACAGAAGAATTGAGATAGTAGTACAGAAATTTCCCATATGCCGTGCATTCAGTTTACCCTATCCTATATAATAAAAGCATAATATGCTAGGTGTCCAACCGGTCACTATGACGTGCACTCGCCACCAGGAGGCTGATGCTCCAACTGGTAGGTTAGCTTGCTGCTGGAGTCCGGCCAATGGGGACTGAGCGAGAGGGCTGGACACTTCCTGGAGCCCTCCCGCGGTCCCTTCCCGGCTAGCCCTGATTGAGACTGGGTGAGATGACCCTGATTGGCCTGGATTGCTGGCCAGTCCAAGGGACCCCACCCATGCACGAATTTGTGCACCCGGCCTCTAGTTATTAACAGTTCATTAATTGTGGTGCATTTGCCACAATTAATGAACTAGTATTGGAGCGTTATTATAAAGCCCATAGTTTATTCAGATTTCCTTATTTTTTTTCTAATGTTCTTTTCTGTTCTAGGATCCTATGAAGGTTACCATACCTTCATAACATGGCAGTTGTCATGTCTTCTTAACCTGTTGGCTGTGACAGTTTCTCAGACTTCTTTTGTTTTGGATAACTTTGACAGTTTTGAAGAGTACTAGTCAGGTGTTTTGTAGGATGCCTGTATTGGAACTTGTCTACTGTTTTTCTCATGATCAGACTGATGTTATGGGTGTTGGGGAGGAAGATCTCAGAACAAAACTGTCACTCTCATGACAATATTGAGGGACTATGATTTACGACCGTTGATGTTGACCTTGATAATCTGGCTGAAGTAGTGTTTGTCAGGTTTCTCTCCCTGTCCCCTGCCCTTTCCATACTATATACTTTGGAAGAAAGCCACTATACTTAGCCCTCACTCAAGGAATAAGTGTTGGACTATCTGTATAAATTATTTGTAATTCTTCTGCAAGAGGGATTTGTGTCTTCTCTCCCATTTATTCATTTACATCAGTATGGACTGATTATTTTATAATGTTGGTTATGATGCACTCAGGAAAGTTCTATAGCAACAAACTCTCACTTTCCTTAGACTGTATTATTGATGTTCACCAAAGTATATAATACTTTATTACCTTAAGTTAGAAATGCACAAAAAAGGCAATGAATATCATGAGTTTGGTGAAGAATGGTATCTTTCCAGCTGCAGTGTTAAGCAGACTTTTGAAGGGCAGGTAATTGTTTTGCCATGCACTAGAGCAGGGAGAGTTCAGGTAATGCTCAGGGAATAATGATTATACTTGTGGCTGGTTATGTAGGGCAATGATTTAAATTAATATTGAAAAAGTTTCTAAGGCAAGGAGAGAAACTCTCCCTTCCCCCCTCCCTTAATCTTTTGTATAATTTATACTTGTTAGATTTGATTTTGAAAGAAGGGTAAAGGTTGCTTAAAAGAAAAATTTGCCATTGGTTTTGGGAATAGAAGGAAATAGGCTGTTTAGGCTGTGATGAATCTTTAAAATGTATGCATCACCTGTTCTTCCTGTATTATTCTTCCTTTTCTAAAAAATTGCTTAAAATATGTTTTTATTAATTTCAGAGAGAGAAAGGTAGAGAGAGAGAGATACATCAATGATGAGAGAAAATCATTGATCAACTGCTTCCTGCACACCCCTACTGGGGATTGAGCCCACAACCCCGGGCATGTGCCCTGACCTGGAATCAAACCAAACCGTGACCTCCTGATTCATGGTTGACGCTCAACTACTGAGCCATACCGGCCAGCCAGGCTGCTCTTTTTTTTTTTTTAGCAAGTGCATGACTTGAAGACTGTTCTGGGAAAGATTGATCTGACAGAGGTATAGAAAGGCATTGGCAGTGGGAGGAAACTGGAGGGAAAGAGACCAAGTAAGTTAGGCATGAAGTTTGAGTTTTGGAGCTGACCTGGCAGCAGTAGTAAGAAATATATTATAGAAAATATGGTGGACGAATTATCAGGATTTGGATTTGGGGACAAGAGGAACAAAAAAGGCAACTAAAGTTTCATGATAGAAAATGCTATTCTGAAAACTTAGAAATAAAGTCAGTGGTTCTTTGTTAAGCTCCTGTTCAGTTTGTTAACTAACAAGTGGGTTAACAGTACGGAATTTCCAAATATGCTCTCCAGGTAAGGTGAGCCAGAATGATCACTTTGGCAAGGCCAAGACTTGATAATGATAGAAATGTGCTAACATACTTCAGGGAGAATTTGCTAACTCTCTCTCTCTCTCTCTTTTTTTTTTTTTTTTGCTGTTTTCCAACAGAGTTTTAGATTTGGTGTGGAAATAGCTTATGTGGGAGCTACTATCTTGGATGTCTGCAAGAGAGTAAGGAAAAAGACTTTGGTTGGAGGAAGCCATCAGAGTAAGGTTTTCAGTTATTTTTATTTTATTTGCTACAAAAATCAGTTTTCCTGTTTATTTGGATTTGCTGTAAAGTTTATGCTGTCTCCCAAAAGGTGGCATTAGAGGTGATACAAAGGGGCAGGTGGCCTTGCTGTGCCGGACCAATGCCAATGTGTTTGATGAGGCTGTACGCGTGACTGATGGAGAAGTACCTGCAAGGATACATTTGATTGGGGTAAGAGTAAATTTCTGTTGACTGCTTCATGCACAGAAACATTGCAGACAAATATAGCCAATGGAAATGTTCAGTTTAGTTAGGATTATTATGCAAGCAAGCATTTGGGTTTTTGACAGTTTTCACCATCTGCACTGTGACTGAAGTCTTTCTCCCTGACAATTATGATTATGCTAGCCAAGTATTCCTGTACAGTCAGATCCAAAAAAGAACTGAGGATCTCCTACTATTTAAAAAAAAAAAATGCCCTTCTCACCTTTGGCTGTGCAAATGAGGCTGCTGGCTACCTGCAAATGTTTCGTGTGTGTTGTTTATTAGTGTAAGAACGGGTAAGGTGATAACACAGCTGGGACAGGCTAATGGGCTCCAGTGGATAGAAAGTGAATACCTAGTTCTAGCTCTGGCTCTGTCACTAACTTTGTGTGGCTTATGGCAAGTCACAACTTCTGTGTGCCTCATTCTCTCCTTCTCTAAGATAAAAATAATGCCTTTTCTTTACCTGTTTCATGGGGAAGTTAGGTTTCGGTGACATTTATATGGCATTTTTAACTCTTTGACTAAAGTTATATGACTAAAAGACATTTGCTCATTTATTTATGAAAAAATATTTTTGAGGGCCTACTATGTGTAGCCACTCAGTAAATATTGAGTGAATCATAATCACCAAGATGTTCTCACTTCTCTTTTTTATTTATAAAGATCTTATAACTCAGTTATAGGAAAAAATTCAGCCTTAATCTCAGTATTTCATATAATTCTCATTTTTGCTAATTATTTGTCTTTGTCTTTCTACATGTGTATTTTTGCATAATTTTCATTATAGTGTGCATTCAAAAGTATGCTGTTTTAACTCAACACATAAGCATTTCTTTCATGTTGCTACTATAATGTCATTACAACATTTCATATAGTGGATATAGCATAATTTAGCTATTTTTCTTATTATAAGAAAATACCAGTAGTTCTTGGGGAGTACCATTTATGCTGGGCATGATATAAAGTAAGTTGCTCTCTTCCCCTCTCTGTATCTGCTCATCACCTGTAGCATGTGTCATTACACATGATCACATCTGGTTTCCAATTATAATGTATACTGTCTTATTTTCTATGTTAATGTGTATGTTTCCCTTCCCAAAATGATGATAAATCCTTGGAGTGTGGAGCCTTTGACACGTATTTCTTCTGTACTGGGGCCTGATGCTGTGCAAATGCTGCATCCCCCAGCCAGTGCTCAGTACATGCTTCTAAGTAGAATTGGTCTGAACTGTGACACAGTCAGACCCTCTCCTCCAGGAGCTAATAGCCTTTTAAAACATAATAATCTGGACCTATAGATATTCTCTAGTTCTTTTCTCAAAAGAAATAATGGTAAGTATTCATAGCCCATACTTTGTATTCAAGTATTCTTTATTGCAACCTTTTCTTATATTCCTGAAAGGTAGATGATTTAAATTGTTCTTTTTTTTTTTTTTACAAGGAAAGGTGCAGCTAGTTCTTGCCTTTTTTAAAACAGGAAGAATTTGAGGTAGCAGCTAAAACTTAGCATTTGATAATCCTGAATTTTCAGGCTGCATTATAGTCCCGGGCTTTTATTTATTTATTTATTTATTTTTAGTCCCGGGCTTTTACACTTGATAAAGTTTCCTGCTTACGATTCTTATACTTTGGGTACAATTTGAGATCTGTTGCCAAGAAATCATATAATTTCATACTCACATCTCTACAGTTGGTTTACTTTTGTTTTGTTAAGACAAAAACAAAACAAAACACAACAAAAAACCCCAAAAATCCCACCAAAAAACTTTTTCAGGGGATTAAATCATTTGGATTGGACAGAATCATTGATATTTGGATCCTTCTTCAGCCAGAGGAAGAACGGAAGAAACGTGAGTACCCTCCTGGCCATGGTACAGTGGATAGAAGCACTGCAGTGACAAGGGATGGGAGAAGGACGGGCATATTCTGAGTCAGAGTTTTTAAATTCTGGAGAAGGGTGGAACTAGTGTTGCTCTTTTCCCATCAAGACTGGGATCCCTGAGGCCTCCGGTTTTCAGAGGTACTGATAACTTTTTCCATATCCTTCTCTCAGGAGTCCTAAATTTATTTCTATTGTTGGTCTCTTAGGCTGTCTTCCCTCATCAACTTTTCTGTCTGCCTGGGCAACTTTACCATTGAAACTTCTGTATGTGCCCCAAATGATCATTGCTAACATTTCTATGGCACTTGTCTTTTCATTATGGTGCTATTTCAAATCCCTGTGAAGTAGGTAAGGATCTCAAGGATAGGGCTTTTGGCCCTCAGTTTAGAGATGGAGAGGCTAAAGCACAGGTCATTTCACTGACTTGCCCATGAACACACAGTAGGTTAGTGATGTAGTCAGGACTAGAACCTGGATCTCCCAGCCTTAAGACCATTCACTTTATGCTATTGGTTAGGAATGTGTAGCTGCTGCCATTATATGTCAGTGCAGCCTGTATCACATTAACCTGTGTCTGTATTCTCCTTAGGAAACCTCCTTATTAAAGACAGGTTTATTAGAAGATGGGTGCACAAAGAAGGCTTTAGTGGCTTCAAGAGGTATGTGACCGCAGCCGAGGATAAGGAGCTTGAAGCAAAGATTGCTGTTGTTGAAAAGTATAACATCAGGATTCCAGAACTGGTGGAAAGGATAGGAAAATGCCACATAGAAGACTTGGACTTTGCAGGTAAGGAAAATACTTAGTTCTTCACTTCCCACCAGTAGGAGGAACAGATGCTACTCTCAGGTGTCTCAGGTCTTCCAGTGCTTCTTGCCTGTGTGAGTATCATGTGTGACCAAGGGCTGCTTTGTTGTGTTCCTGCATTGCTTGAGAGAAGGGAACAGAGCTTCCATTCTTTTTTTTAAAAAATAATTAAATCTTTATTGTTCAGATTATTACAGTTGTTTCTCTTTTTTCCCCCCATAGCTCCCCTCCATCCGGTTCCCACCCCGCCCTCTGCCCTCACACCCCCCCTCCCCACACTGTCCTCATCCATAGGTGCACAATTTTTGTCCAGTCTCTTCCTACATCCTCCCCACCCATTTCCCCCCCAAGAATAGTTAGTCCACTCCCTTTCTATGCCCCTGATTCTATTATATTCACCAGTTTATTCTGTTCATCAGATTATTTATTCAATTGATTTTTAGATTCACTTGTTGATAGATGCGTATTTGTTGTTCATAATTTGTATCTTTACCTTTTTCTTCTTCCTCTTCTTAAAGGATACCTTTCAGCATTTCATATAATCCTGGTTTGGTGGTGATGAACTCCTTTAGCTTTTCCTTATCTGTGAAGCTCTTTATCTGACCTTCAATTCTGAATGATAGCTTTGCTGGATAAAGTAGTCTTGGTTGTAGGTTCTTGGTGTTCATCACTTTGAATATTTCTTGCCACTCCCTTCTGGCCTGCAAAGTTTCTGTTGAGAAATCAGCTGACAGTCATATGGGTACTCCCTTGTAGGTAATTGACTGTATTTCTCTTGCTGCTTTTAAGATTCTCTCTTTGTCTTTTGCCCTTGGCATTTTAATTATGATGTGTCTTGGTGTGGTCCTCTTTGGATTCCTTTTGTTTGCGGTTCTCTGCACTTCCAGGACTTGTAAGTCTATTTCTTTCACCAGGTAGGGGAAGTTTTCTGTCATCATTTCTTCAAATAGGTTTTCAATATCTTGCTCTCTCTCATCTTCTGGCACCCCTATAATTCGGATGTTGGTACACTTGAAGCTTTACCAGAGGCTCCTTCCACTATCTTCGTATTTTTGGATTCTTTTTTCATTTTGCTTTTCCGGTTGGGTGTTTTTTGCTTCTTCGTATTTCAAATCTTTGGCTTGATTCTTACGATCCTCTAGTCTGCTGTTGGAACCCTGGATAATATCCTTTATTTCAGTCAGTGTATGTTTAATTTCTGATTGGTCCTTTTTCATACCCTCAATGGTCTCACTAGATTTCTTGAGGATCTCACTACATTTATCAGCAGTCTCACCCATCTTTTTGAGGGTCTTACTAAATTTGTCAGTGGTTTCTAGAAAGTTCTTGAAAAACCTTAAAAGTGTGGTTTTGAACTCTATATCCAATAGTTTGCTTTCCTCCATTTCTGTCATTTGTGTCCTGTTTCTTTGTCTCCACATTTTGGCTGCTTCCCTGTGTTGATAGAGTGGCTTTCTGTGCTAGATGTCCTGTACGGCCCAGTGGCTCAGCCTCCCCAATTATCTGAGGTGGACACTCTTGGTGCACCCCCTTGTGGGCTTTGTGCACAGTCTTGTTGAAGTTAAGCCTTGATTGTAGTTGGTATCACTGGGAGGAATTGACCTCCAGGCCAATTGACTGTGAGAATCAGCTGTGTCTGCAGTGGGAGAACTTCTGTGCTGGAGACACCCCTCTGGGGCAAAACTTGCTTTAGTGGGGCTTTGGTGCTCACTGAGTCTGCCCCCTGAATATGTCCTTTATGGATCCAAGGAGCTGCAATCTGGATGGTCCCATTCTGACCACCGGGCACACTTGCTTCTGGATCTCTAAGGAGGTGCTAATCTAGCCCCTGCCTGAGGCTATTCTGCAGGAGCCAGGTGTGAAGCAATGCAAGTTGCCTGGGGCCTTGGGCCAGCTGCAGTTTTTTAGGTAATTTTCAGATTGCAAAGGGCCAGGCCTTTCATATGCAAAAGCCTCCGTGGACGGTTTGGGCGAGGCGGGGTACTAGGGGATCAACAGGTCAGAGCAAGCAGCTATGGCTGCCCTCAGAGGCCCCACTTCTGTGTCCTGGCAAATGCTGCAAGCACCTCTGAGAGAAAGCCGCCCTCGAGTTCCCACTGATGCCAGACAGTCCAGTTTCTCCCGTATGAGTCTGGGTCCCCAGAGACTTGCCCAGAACTGGAGCTCAGAGCTTGAGACTCCCTCCCGATTGAAAGAGACAACCATGTCCTCAGCTGCCAGCCCTCTCCGCATGTGCCTCCGTACCTCTGTACTTCTGCACTGCACCTCCTCTGAGTCTCTGTATGCTTTTCTCTTTCCTTCTAGTTGTAGAATTTCCACTCAGCTAGCCTTCCTGTGGTTTTGGATGATGTCCATTCAGTCTTTTAGTTGTATTCTTTTTTTTTTTAAATATTTATTGTTCAGATTATTACATTTGTTCCTCTTTTTTTCCCCCATAGCTCCCCTCCACCCAGTTTCCACCCCACCCTCTGCCCTTACCCCCCCCACTCTCCTCATCCATAGGTGCACAATTTTTGTCCAGTCTCTTCCCGCATCTCCCACACCCCTTTCCCCCCAAGGAATAGTGAGTCCATTCCCTTTCTATGTCCCTGATTCTATTATAATCACCAGTTCATTCTGTTCATCAGATTATTTATTCAATTGGTTCTTAGATTCACTTGTTGATAGATGCATATTTGTTGTTCATAATTTGTATCTTTACCTTTTTCTTCTTCTTCCTCTTCTTAAAGGATACCTTTCAGCATTTCATATAATACTGGTTTGGTGGTGATGAACTCCTTTAGCTTTTCCTTATCTGTGAAGCTCTTTATCTGACCTTCAGTTCTGAATGATAGCTTTGCTGGATAAAGTAATCTTGGTTGTAGGTTCTTGGTATTCATCACTTTGAATATTTCTTGCCACTCCCTTCTGGCCTGCAAAGTTTCTGTTGAGAAATCAGCTGACAGTTGTATGGGTACTCCCTTATAGGTAACTGACTTTCTTTCTCTTGCTGCTTTTAAGATTCTCTCTTTGTCTTTTGCCCTTGGCATTTTAATTATGATGTGTCTTGGTGTGGTCCTCTTTGGATTCCTTTTGTTTGCGGTTCTCTGCGCTTCCTAGACCTGTAAGTCTATTTCTTTCACCAGGTGGGGGAAGTTTTCTGTCATTATTTCTTCAAATAGGTTTTCAATATCTTTCTCTCTCTCTTCTTCTGGCACCCCTATAATTCGGATGTTGGTACGCTTGAAGCTGTCCCAGAGGCTCCTTACACTATCTTTGTATTTTCGGATTCTTTTTTCATTTTGCTTTTCCAGTTGGATGTTTTTTGCTTTTTCGCGTTTTGAATCTTTGACTTGATTCTTGCGCTCCTCTGGTCTGCTGTTGGGTGTCTGTATAATATTCTTTATTTCAGTCAGTGTATGCTTAATTTCTAGTTGGTTCTTTATCACAACATCGAGGGTCTCATTAGATTTCTTGAGGATCTCACTACATTTATCGGCGGTCTCACCAGTCTTTTCGAGGGCCTTACTAAGTTTATCAGCAGCTTCTAGACAGTTCTTGAGAGACCTTAAAAGTGTGGTTTTGAGCTCTATATCTTCCATTTCTGACATTTGCGTCCTGTTTCTTTGTCTCCGCATTTTTATATCTTTTCTTGGTGCACCCCCTAGTGGTCTTTGTGCGCAGTCTTGTAGTTAAGCCTTGATTGTTGTCGGTAATACCAGGGGTGATTTGACCTCCAGGCTAACTGGCTATGAGAGTCAGCTGTGTCTGCAGTGGGAGAGCTTCTGTGCTGGATCTCTAGTTGTATTCTTGAAGTGGTTGTGCAAGGCAGCAATCTCCGGTGTTTACCTATGCCGCCATCTTGTTTTTTTTTCCCTTCCATTCTTCCTTAGAGTTCCTTTGGTTTCTGTTCTGCCTCTAAGCCAGTAGAATGGGACTTTCTAGTCCTAATTCTGCTGCTCTATGACGTTGGGTAAGCCATTCATCCTTCCTCTGGGCCTCTGTTCCTGTGTGTGTGAAACATAGGTGGTGGGTGAGTCACTGTGAACTTTGGAATGTGATTCTAAGATGCACTGACTTACCTGCAATGAATTTTCTGCTTTTCCCCTCATCTTTTTATTCTTATTTGCTCTCTTTTTTTTTCTGACTGTATTTTCCTCTTTCCCTCTTTTCTCACAAACTTCACACAGGCAGGAAAATAAAGTTAGAGTTTTAAAAAATGTTTTTATTGATTTTAGAGAGAGAGGAAGGCAAAATTAGAGGTTGCTTTTTTTTGTTTGTTTTTTAAAATATATTTTTATTGATATCAGGCAGGAAGGGAGAGGGAGAGAGAGATAGAAACAGAGAGAGAATGATTGATTGGCTGCCTCCTGTACACCCCACAGTGGGGATCGAGCCTGAAACACAGGCATGTGCCCTGCCCGGGAATTGAATTGTGACCTCCTGGTTCATAGGTCAATGCTCAACCATTGAGCCACACTGGGTGGACCAAAGTTAGAGTTTTAAGGGTATAGTAGTAAGAGTATATTTCCCCCCTCCCTTCTTGTTTCTCTTCATATCTAGCCCCCTTCTAATGCTATGGTGTATTTTTATTCCAGAGTACATTTTGGGTACTGTACACAAAGCTAAAGGCTTGGAATTTGATACCGTTCATGTTTTGGATGATTTTGTGAAAGTGCCTTGTGCCAGGCACAACCTTGCACAGCTGCCCCACTTCAGAGTTGGTAAGGCTGGTCACACTGAAGATCCTCTTTAATAGTTGACTTGAGATTCTTCCTTGGGATGCTTTGCTTCTTGTTGGATGGTGTGACTTCTTGGAAGGATTCTTCTAGAAAAAGAAAAAGGCACCGCCTAGTCTTAAAGTTTATATTCATATACTATAGCTTTTTGAGATGTGATTCACAACCCTACAATCCATCCATTTAAAGTAGACAATCTAATGAGTTTTAGTATATTCACAGTTCAACTGTTCTTTATTGAATTTTTGCCATTGTGCTAGGTATTGTAAATGAAAACTGAGGAGTAAGGTAGACAGTAAACACTTGTAATGTTTTTCTTCTCTGGTTGTCCTTTAACAACATAAGAGAGTTTCACATTGGCCCAAGTAAGAGAGAGAGTGTTAGGAAAAGGAAAGAACTTGGGTTTCAGAGACTTGGGTTAACTCCTGGACCCTAGATTAGCCATGGTCCATTTGTCCAGATGTCTTACCTTCCATAAGTCTCAGCTTTCCTATCAGTCCCATAGGGTCATCATGAGGAAAACTGAGAGAACAAACAGAAAATATGAACTGGGCCACATCACAGGTGTTGATAACCAGTGAACTGGTTCTAGTTTACCAGTAGTAGCACTAACTAAAATTCAGTATTTTGTGCCACTAGACTGTTCGGTTTTTGTTTATTTTTGGAGTTGGTGTTTATAGGAAAATTATGTGTATACCAGAGGCCCTGTGCATGAAATTCATGCATGGGGGGGGTTTTCTCAGCCCAGGCTTCACCCTCTCCAATTGGGGACCCCTGTGGGATTGGGCCTAAACCGGAAGTCAGACATCCCCCTCGCAATCTGGGACCGTTGGCTCCTAGCCACTCAACTGCCTGCCTGCCTGATTGCCCCTTACCACTCTGCCTGCCTGCCTGGTTGCCCCTAACTGCCTCTTCCTGACTGCTGGATCGCCCCTAACTGCTCCCCTGCCGGCCTAATCACTCCTCACTGCTCTCCCCTGCCAGCCTGGTTGCCCCTAATTGCCCCCCCCCCCCACCAGGCTAGTTGCTCCCAACTGCCCCCCCCCCCCCCCCCCCGCCAGCCTGGTCGCTCCCAACGGTCTTCCCCTGCCAGACTGGTCATCCCCAACGGCCCTCCTCTGCTGGCCGGATCTCGCCCCCATTGGCCCTCCCCTGCAGGCCTGGTCATCCCCAACTGCCCTCCCTGCCATCCTGGTCATCCCCAACTGCCCTCTCCCGCTGGCCTGATTGCCCCTAACCCCCTGCTGGCCTGATCTCGCCCCCAGCTGCCCTCCCCTGCTGTCCTGATCGCCCCTAACTGCCTCTGCCTCAGTCCCCACCACCCTGGCCTTGTCTGGAGGGAGGTTGGACGTCCAGAAGATGGCCGGTTGAACCAGTCTAATTAGCATATTACCCTTTTATTAGTATAGATTATATAGGATAGGATTGCTTAAATGGGGGGGAAAAGCCTTTTTCAGCAGGAGGAGATGCTCTTGGCAGACAAAAGTACATAATCCTATATCTGGACTGATAGCCAGGCATATGCACTATACTGCCAAACCAGTCATTAAAAAATTGAACTGCTTTCTTACACCTTACACCAGTGGTTCTCAACCTTCTGGCCCTTCAAATACAGTTCCTCATGTTGTGACCAAACCATAAAATTATTTTCGTTGCTACTTCATAGCTGTAATGTTGCCACTGTTATGAATCGTAATATAAATATCTGATATGCAGGATGGTCTTATGTGACCCCTGTGAAAGGGTTGTTTGACCGCCAAAGGGGTCGCGACCCACAGGTTGAGAACTGCTGCCTTACACCAAACAGCTATTGCCCTTAAAACCCCTCCTCAGCCCCTACCTTAGGTTCTGCCTTCGCAGTTCACCCAGATTAGGTTCTGATTGGTCAGTTTCTATGCCAGTCAGTGTCAAAAGCTCCACCTCCTAGGCAGCCATTGGTTCTTCTGGGAAATCCAGAACAGCCCTGCTGACAGCTCTCTCTCTTGCCAGGCCTATATTTGGGCCTGATCCACAGCGGCTGCGCATCAGGCCCTGCTTCTCTATCTCTCCAGGCCTTGCCAGCAGCTGTGATGGCTGCTGATCAGGCCCTGCTTCTCTCTCTCTCTGGGTCTGATCCCGCAGCCACCCTACCTACCTTGCCCCACCCCCCCTCTTCCACCGTCCCGCCCACCTGCCACTAGCATTGCTGTGATAGGAGCCTGTGGGCCACGGTGGAGGGAGCACCATCCACTTCCTGGTGACTGGTCGTCCGTCTGGTCATTTAGGTCGTGACGGCCCTAGACTATTATTAGTATAGATAGCCAGCAAATCTTGAGTGTTTCTTTTTTAGGGGTGGTGGATGAGGATAGGTAACATTTAGATGAGAATATAAATTCTTGTAAGCAGGCATTTGAGTTGATATATTATTTCCCTTTACTTTCTTTAGAGTCTTTCTCTGAGGATGAATGGAATTTACTGTATGTTGCAGTCACTCGTGCCAAGAAGTGCCTCATCATGACCAAATCATTGGAGAATATTTTGACTTTGGCTGGGGTAAGAGGAACTGGTAGCACAAGTTAGTTTAACAACATTGGATTTTATTGGGTTTGAATAGGGATCAACCTTTCCTGGGTTGGAAGAGAAGGGCTTCTCTTTTTCTAGTGCACAGAAGCCTATTGCTAGTGCAGGAAGTGTCCTAACCAAAGAAACAAACATGTGGGTTCTTTTCTAAATTCTTTCCTGATCTAGTAAGTTCTTTTAAAAATATCAGCTGTGTTCATGCATTTCTTAATTTCTCCCTTATTCGATTAGTGCTTAACACTCTTAGGGAAAAACATGGCAAGAATGTTTTCAGTGTTTGAACTTTCTCCCCCTCACTCCCTGGTTCCTTTTGAACTGGCAACTCTTGCTGCCAGCGGAGAATGTGCATTCAGGTACCTGGCCTCTTGTCACTGGCTAAGATGCAGAAAAGTATCAGCACTCACTCTTTACTCCTGCAAATCAATCTTCTACCACACTCTCTTGTTTCCACCTTTCATGGACTGGAGCAGGGGTCCTCAAACTATGGCCCGCGGGCCACATGCAAATACAAATATTGTATTTGCTCCCATTTGGTTTTTTACTTCAGAATAAGATATGTGCAGTGTGCATAGGAATTTGTTCATAGTTTTTTTTAAACTCTAGTCCAGTTCTCCAACGACCTGAGGGACAGTGAACTGGCCCCCTGTTTAAAAAGTTTGAGGACCCCTGGACTGGAGTGTAAGTCATTTAGTCTTTTCAACTCTTTTGGAAACTAGAACAGAAATTTGAGCTAACAGTTACTATTTAGTCCATCTTTCCCTGAACCAAAGATACTTAAGCCTGAAACGTAAAACATAAGTAACTAAGAACTGAATATTTTTTGAGTGCCTAATATGTGCTAAGCACATTTCTAGGCACTGGAGCTGTAATGGTGGGCAAGGGAAATCCGTGCCTTAACAGAACCCCCATTGTAGGTGAAAAGACAGACAATAAACAAGTAAACAAAAAGGATTTCTCTTTACATTTTAAGGAGGATATCAGAGCTTAAAAGGGAGAAACTATGCAGGTAAATACTCATTTGGAACAGCAAAATCTTCTTGTCTAAGACCAATTACCTTGCATTTATATCGAACTTTGTTCTTTCAAGTCTCTGTCTCACTTTTCTTCCAAGCCGCTCTGAGTCAGGCCTGTTTGGCTGTGAGAATGTTTCTGGAATTTGAAATCAGCTGCATGGCTTCGCCTGAGCCTCACCGTGTGTGACATCTCACCTTGTGTGGCAGCTCACGTGGCAGAACTTGGGCTGAAGTCTTTCTCGTTGGTTTCATCCTCAGTGGCACTTGGGTCACCAGCAGATTTTCCAGAGATGACATAGAGCAGAGCTCTGCAAACTTTTATGTAAAGATCCAGACAGTGAGAACCTGGCCAGAGAACCTGGCTGGAGAACCTGGCTAGAGAACCTAGCTATGCTGATCATCTGAACGCTGCCTCCATGTCATTCCTTCTTTGCCAACTCCGTCCACACCTTTGGGAACCCCTGGACCTGCTGGGGCTGGACCCCAACATCCAGCAAACAAAAGCCCGGGGCCAGACAACTTCACAGGAAAGTTTTACCAAACATTCAAGAAAGAACTAAAACCTAGCCTCCTCAAATTATTCCAAAAAATTCAAGAGGAAGGAACACTTCCAAGCTCATTCAATGAAGCCAGCATCACCCTAATACCAAAACCAGATAAAGACAACACATTGAAAGAGAATTACAGGCCAATACCTCTCATGAACATAGATGCCAAAATCCTCAACAAAATCTTAGCAAATCGGATCCAGCAGTACATCAGAAAGATCATACACCATGACCAAGTAGGTTTGAAGCTGGGGATGCAAGGATGGTACAATATCCACAAATCAATAAACGCGATACATCACATAAAATAATTGAGAGATAAAATCATAGTTTTATCAATTGATGCAGAAAAAGCATTTGACAAAATCCAGCACCCTTTCTTCATAAAAACTCTCAATAAGGTGGGAGTAGAAGGATCATATCTCAACATAATAAAAGCCATGTATGACAAACCCACAGCCAACATCATACTCAGTGGGCAAAAACTAAAACCATTTCCCCTAAGAACAGGAACAAGACAGGGATGTTCACTCTCACCACTCCTGTTGTATTGGAAGTATTGGAAGTATAGTATTGGAAGTATTAGCCATTGTGATCAGACAAGAAGAAGAAATAAAAGGCATCCAAATTGGAAAAGAAGAAGTAAAACTGTCCTTATTTGGAAAAAAAAAAAAATCCAGACAGTAAATACGTTAGGCTTTGCAGGCTGTGGGATCTCTGTTGCGTCTACTCAACTTTGAGGTTATAGTAAGAGAGCAGCCACAACAATTCTTTAATAAATGAGTGTGGCTGCATTCCAGTCCAACTTTATTTACAACAGGCACTGGTCTGCATTTGGCTCCCTGGTTGTAGTTTGCTGACCCCTGGTTTAGAGATAAGTGTGGCTTTTCTTAATTTTAGGGAGTGGAGTAGAATAATAATTATTAGGTACAAATAATCTCTACCTATCATCTTTTTAAAAAATATATAGTTTTATTGATTTCAGAGAGGAAGAGAGAGGGAGAGAAAGATAGAAACATCAATGATGAGAGAGAACCATTGATCGGCTGCCTCCTGCACGCCCCTCAAAGGGGATTGAGCCAATAACCAGACATGTGCCCTTGACTGGAATTGAACCCGGGACCCTTCAGTCCACAGGCTCTATCCACTGAGCCAAACCAGCCAGGGCTATCATCATTTTTTATATAAATTTTGATCTTGAATATACCTGCAGTATGGTTTTCTCATAGATGTAGTGTTACATTAGTGGTTAGATCTGTAACAAAGACAAATTATTATATTGGTAACTTTTTAAAAAACTTTAAGAAATATTTTTATTGATTTTTAGAGAGAGAAGAAGGGAGAGGGATAGAGAGATAAGAAACATCTATGATTAGCTGTCTCCTACAGGTCCCTTACTGGGGATCAAGCCTGCAATCCAGGCATGTGCCCTGGTCAGGAATCAAACCTGTGACCTCTTGTTTCATGGGTTGATGCTCAACCAGAGTCACACCAACCAGGCATGTTGGTAACTTTTAATGGAGGTATTGTAGAGCAGTAATATCATTTCACACTATAGGTTAAATAGATATATTTTTTTTAATTTAGGAAAATTTTGAGATATTTAAAAGTCAAGAAAATGATATGTTAAGTTACCACATACAAATCACCCTTATATATATTTGGAGTATGCATCTCTCAAAAAATACGGGCTTTTTTTTACCTATAACCAAAGTGCCATTATCATCTTATAAAATTTATAATAATGCCATGTGGCCTCTAATAACCAATCCATACTCATATTTTTATGATTATCTCAAAAATGCCTTTTTATAGTTGATTTGTTCAAATCAGGATCCAGACATTTGGCTGTTAGGTCTTTTACGTTTCTTAATTTAGAACAGTCAATACCCTCTCCCTCCTTTTCAGTGCTCCTGGTTTTTTTGCAGAAATGGAGTCAGTTTTCCTACATAATGTTTCACATTCTAGATTTATTGCTTTGTGTGGTTGGATAGCCTATTCTACTATTGCCTACCCTGGATTTTCTATAACTGAAATTTAGCCATAGAGATTTAATTAGGCTCAGGCTTAACTTTTCTGGCAGGGATCCTGTATTTGGGGGTCAGGGAGAGACTTTGCTTTGTATTGCCTTATATCAGAAGGCAGTGATATCAGATTATCTCCCTTTTAGTGGGGTTAAGATTGTTCAACGTTTTAGTAGACAGAGATAGGAAATTCATATATATATGGGGGAGGGATGGACGGTAATAACTGAGCATGTGAAAGTATGTTGTGAACAGTAGGGTCATGCATGGTGACGTTTTTAGGGCAAAAGTGAGCCATTGTTTCCCACCACATAGAGTGATAACTATTTGGTTTCCCCTGTAATCAAGAGTAGGGCAGGCAGCCTACTTTTTCTCTGACCCCCTTAGAAAATCTAGCTAATCACTAGGAGCTTTTTGTTTCATTGCTTATTTCATGTTTTGAAGAAGTGAAGGGACTCACTGTGTTACCAAATTATGAAGTGACATGGAGTTAGGCTAGTTGCTCAAAAACAGCTTCTTAGCCTCCTAGAATCTTAATCCAAATCTCACAGGCACCTCCTTAGTGCAGTGCCTAGCACGTGGTTGGTGCTCATTGTCCAATGGATGAAACAGCCCCTCGTTCTTAGGCTGTACACAGCCTGATCCCACAGGCCTCCAATGAGACTACCTTGGTTAACATCCCAGTTTTTCCACCTGGGTACTTTGTGACTTTGGGCAAGCTACTGAACACTCTGTACTTCTCTTTCCTAATCTGTGAAACTGGCATAATGGCACTGACTGCACCTCTGAGGAGGGGATAGAGAAGGTCCATGATGAACTGGTGAAATAACTGCTTTACAATTGATTGGGGAAAGCAGACGGGACACTCAAGGGCAGTTAGTTGTCTTTGAGACACTGAATCCCGGGAGGGAGGTAGCACGGAGAGAACTGGCATTTGCTTCGGAGCTGTGTTGTCAGGCATGTGTGTGCTCATTCATTCAGCAGTGATTGTTGAGCACTTTCTACATGACAGAAGTGCTGTTGAGTCATGTGCTTCCATGTCATTTAGCTTTGTATCTGGACATTATCACAGAGACAGCGAGACAGAAATACTCTGCTGCTTGCTGATTAAGGCACAGGCTCTGGACTTGGGCACACCGAGTTTATGCCCCACATCTGCTCCAATCTAGCTCTGTGATCTTTTGCACAAGTGACCTAATTTCTTAGCTGTCATACCCTCATCTATGCAATGGGGATAATGACAATGTCTCCCCAGGAAATCATTGGTGAGGATTATATGTATAGTGCTTTATAAGCAAAGGATCTAACTGCTAGTAAGGAAGCAAGGCGTTTAAAAACAAGCAGCCTGGGATGATTTCAGGAGGGGAGGTGTAGGTGGTGGCATCATGTGCCTTTAGATTTCTGAAGGCCAGGGGTTCCAGCGAAGCTTTCTCCTCTGTGGTAGTGCTTGTAACATCTATAGTGGTCCATCTGCCAGTATATTACCCAGTTTGATGTAAGCCCTTCACAGTTTTTTTGAGTGATGGAGTTTCTCCACAGCTAATGGTCTTTGTATCTGTGAAAGTATTGGATACCCAAGATGTCACTAAAGAATGTGGGTGGTACTTGCTTCGGCACATAGACTAAAATTGGAACAATACAGAGAAGATAAGCATGGTCCCTGTGCAAGGGTGACACGCAAATTCTGTGAAGCGTTCTATATTTTTACACCATGACCAAGTAGGATTTATCCTGGGATGCAAGGATGGTACAATATCCACAAATCTATAAACATGATACATCACATAAACAAATTGAGAGATAAAAATCACATAGTCATATCAATTGATGCAGAAAAAGCATTTGACAAAATCCAGCACCTTTTCTTGATAAAAACTCTCAGCAAGGTGGGAATAGAAAGATCATATCTCAACATAATAAAAGCCATATATGACAAACCCACAGCCAACATCATACTCAATGGGCAAAAACTAAAACCATTTCCCCTAAGAACAGGAATAAGATAGGGATGCCCCCTCTCACCACTCCTGTTCAACATAGTACTGGAAGTACTAGCCATTGCAATCAGACAAGAAAAAGAAATAAAAGGCATCCAAATTGGAAAAGAAGAAGTAAAACTGTCCTTATTTGCAGATGACATAATACTATACATAGAAAACCCTAAAGACTCCATCAAAAAATTATTAGACTTAATTAATGAATTTGACAATGTAGCAGGATACAAAATTAATACCAAGAAATCTATGGCATTTCTATACACCAATAGTGAACTTACAGAAAGAGAGACCAAAAAAGCAATCCCATTTACCATTGAACCAAAAAAATTAATCTTAACTAAGGATGTAAAAGACCTGTACGCGGAAAACTACAGGACACTGAAAAAAGAGATAGAGGAAGACATAAACAAATGGAAGAACATACTGTGTTCATGGATTGGTAGAATCAACATCATTAAAACGTCCATACTAAAAGCAATCTATAGATTCAATGCAATCCCCATTAAAATACCAATAGCATATTTCACAGACCTAGAATGAATTCTCCAAAAATTCATCTGGAATGAAAAAAGACCCCGAATAGCTACAGCAATCCTGAGAAAGAAGAACAAAGTAGGTGGGATCTCAATACCAGATATCAAGCTGTATTACATAGCCACTGTTCTTAAAACTGCCTGGTACTGGCACAAGAACAGACATATAGATTAATGGAATAGAATAGAAAACCCAGAAATCGCCCCAAACCACTATGTTCAATTAATATTTGACAAAGGAGGCAAGAACATACAATGGAGTCAAGACAGTCTCTGAAATAAATGGTGTTGGGAAAATTGGACAGATACATGCAAAAAAAAATGAAACTAAACCACCAACTTACACTATACACAAAAATAAACTCAAAATGGATAAAGGACTTAAACATAAGACGGGAAACCATAAAAAAATACTAGAGAATCCAAAGGCAGCAAAATCTCAGACATGTGCTGAAGCAATTTCTTCACCAATACCACTCCTAGGGCAATGGAAACTAAAGAGAAAATAAACAGATGGGACTACATCAAAATAAAAAGCTTTTGCATAGCGAAAGAAATCATCAACAAAACAACAAGAAAGCCCACTGCATGGGAGAACATGTTTGCCAATGTTATCACTAATGAGGGTTTAATCTCCAACATTTACAGGGAACTAATACAACTTAACAAAAGGAAGATAAATAACACAATAAAAAAATGGGCAATGGACCTAAATAGATACTTTTCGAAAGAAGACAGAGGAAGGCCAAGAGGCATATGAAAACATGCTCAAAGTCACTAATCATCCGAGAGATGCAAATCAAAATGACAATGCAGTACCATCTCACACCTGTCAGAATGGCTCTCATCAACAAACGGACAAGTGCTAGTGAGGATGTGGAGAAAAAGGAACCCTCGGGCGCTGCCGGTGGGAATGCAGACTGGTGCAGCCACAGTGGAGAACAGTATGGAGTTTCCTCAGAAAACTAAAAATGGAACTCCCATTTGACCCAGTGATCCCACTCCTAGGCATATATCCCATGAAACTAGAAACACCAATCAGAAAGGATATATGCACCCCTATGTTCATAGCAGCACAATTCACCATAGCTAAGATTTGGAAACAGCCTAAGTGCCCATCAGCAGATGAGTGGATTAAAAAACAGTGGTACATCTACACAATGGAATACTATGCTGCAGTAAAAAAGAAGGAATTCTTACCATTTGCCATAGCATGGATGGAACTGGAGAGCATTATGCTAAGTGAAATAAGCCAGTCAGAGAAAGATAAATATCACATGATCTCACTCATTTGTGGAATATAATGAACAACAAAGTGATGAACAAAAACAGATCCAGAGACAGAGAAGCAGCAATCAGATTGTCAAACCTCAGAGGGAAGGTAGGGGAGGATGGGGGTAATGAGGAGAGATCAACCAAAGAACTTGTATGCATGCATATAAGCCTAACCAAGGGACACAGACAACAGGGGGGTGAGGACATGAGTAAGGGGGTGAGGGGGATAAAGACACATATGTAATACCTTAATCAATAAAGAAAAGAAAAGAAAGAATGTGGGTGGCTTAATTAGTTGATTTACCTATTCATTCAGTTGACAAATACTAATTTACTAGAGGCCCGTTGCATGAAGAGATTCATGCAATAGGCCTTCCTTCCCCTGGCTGCCGGCACTGGTTTCCCTCCGGCACCTGGGACACAGGCCTTCGATCTGGCTGCAGTGGAGAAGCCAAGCCTTGAGGCTTCTCTGCTCTGACCGCAGCAGAGAAGCCAAGCCTCTTCAGTCTTCAGTTTTCAGTCTTCGCTCGGACCGGAGCCTTCAGTCTTCACTCCACACCTGCATGTGCAAATTAACCGCCATCTTTTTGGGTTGATTTGCATACTCATCCTGATTGGCTGGTGGGCGTAGCAGAGTGACACCAGTTTGCATGTTTCTTTTTTATTAGTGTGGATAGTGCCCGTGTTATATGCCAAGCGTTGCAGTTAGTGCTAGGAAGTTCGTGTAACAAAAGTAAGGTGCCTGGTGATCTCATAGAACTTACAGTCTAGGAGGGAAGCATTAGGCAGTTTTAGGCCTAACAGCAGGATTTTAGGAGTTGGAATGTTTCCAATGCCTTAGCTATTAGAGTTTCCAAGTAGAATGTGACAGAGGCATTGTTGTAATTCTCTTTCCCATTCTTTTCTTTCTAGGAGTATTTCTTGCAAACAGAGCTGACAAGTAGTGTTTTAAAAACAGGAGTGGTTCACTGCTGTGTGGGGCAGTGCAACAACACCATCCCAGTGGACACTGTGCTCACCATGAAGAAGCTCCCCATCACTTATGTATGTGGTCTTGGCTGCAGCTCTGGCTTTCTATAGAATTTAATCCAGTCATTTGTGTTTTATTGCATGTGAGCTATGTGCTTTCAGGGCTGTGGGTGAGGGAGATAAAAGAGGAGTTTGTATAATCTTTCTCAGGGGCTTTTCATATATAAGGCACAAGAGATGCCAGATCTACCTGTGTCAAAATAATGATAATGACATAATCAGTGTGCGTGGCATAGGCTGGGAGGTTGGGTTGTGACTGACACGCCAAGGAGAACTGCTTCCCTGGAGGGTCTGGTTAACTTGTTCTTGGCTCTTCATCTCTTGCCTTAATAAATTTGGGTTTCTGTTGTAAGAGAATTTGATAGAGTCTAGTCCACCCTAGATGACAGTGCAGTGGGAAGTATTACCTGAGAGGTTTGCACAAGTCTGAAAATATCAGAATCATAATACATAGTCCTATGGCAGCATGACAGCAATTCAGCACTTCTTGGTATAATCTTTGTTCTTTGATTGTTCCCCATCCCTCTGTTTCTTATCCCTCATTGCAGAGCAACAGAAAGGAAAACAAGGGTGGCTACCTCTGCCACTCCTGTGCAGAACAGCGCATTGGGCCTTTGGCCTTCTTGACTGCCACCCCCGAGCAGGTGCACTCCATGCCACCCACCATCGAGAACATAGTGCTGCCCAGACACGAAGCTCTGCTTTTCCTTGTCTTCTGAAAGCCAAGAGGAGCATTCTTCATGGTACAGATTGCCTTCTGTGGATCCCAATTACTTGAAGAAAGCCAATGTGGGGTGGGGTTCTCATTCACCCGAGACTCTGAATTCACTCACAGAGCATTTTTGAGGAAGATGAAGCCAACCAGAGTTGGACCTGCCATTTCTCCATTCCCTATAGGTGATCAGTTTCCACTGCCCTCCTCCATGCACCCAGGGGATATGAGAGATGTTCTTTTGATTAAAAAAAAAACACACCACAACAACATTTTATGTATTTAAGCTTTTATTACAAGGTTTCAATTAAACAGCCATTGTAGAACTGACATACCAATGTGTGACACCTGCCTTCAGCCCTGTTATTTGAACTTTCTCCAGCTTTCTCTTTTTTCCACTTTTTCTAACAGCTCGGTCACTGTTCACACAATCACCAAGTAGAGTATGAAACTTAATATCCAGTGTATAATTGCTGCTTCAAAAATGAGATTTTCATGCTGGGGAGATTCACACTTGTATAAGACATAGTGTGTGTCTTTGTCATCACGGGGTTCACAATTTAAACAGGGAAGCAACATTATACAGAAAAAGGCAAGCACAAAGTACAATAGCTAGACTTCCTGTGTTTCTCACAGGTAGAACCAAAGATGAGAAATATTTGAGAGGGAGTGGGTGAAGGGGGTCAGAGGTAAAAATAAAAACAGGCATTACTGAGTAATACCAGAAAATAGCTTACTATTATCTAGTAATTTGTAACCAAAAGGAAAAAAAAAATGCTTGAGAGGGAAGCAGAGGGGTCACGGGAGGGAGAATGGGAGTAGGTAGAGGTGGAAAGTTGGTACCTGGTTTGTAGCCTGGGGAGTCTGGGTGGCTTTAATAAAGCTATTGTTAGAGGGGAAAAAACAAATGAAAATTTTACATCGCTTAGATGTACATGGATCTGCTATTTTTACATTTTTGCCATACAGCACTTCAGGGATGCAAATGGCAGGTGAGGGAGTTGGCACAGCATTGCCCAAAGAATTCACCGCATCTAGTGTCTGAGCCAGTCGAGCGGAGTCCAAGAGCAGACCTCATAGCTTCAGTTGTTGCAGTCTCCCTTTAACTTCTCCTCCGTCAGGCCTCTAGTGGAGCTTAGATGCGGGCCGGTGAGTACAGCAAGGGTGCTGTGGATTGGGCCAGGGGTGCTTGGAAAGGGTGAATACAAGTCACTGTTTGCATATGGAGGAAAATTCACAGAATTGGACCTAAAGACAAATTTAATGAGAAAGGGACAGGACTCTTTCATCCACTTGGCTGGTATTTCAGGCTTAGCCTTATTTGATTCTTATGGATAACTTGGAATAAAAGAACAAGGGAAAGGGAATTATGTGAATTTACATTGGTTACAGTATTCATTGTTATTCAGAAGAATGGTTTGGGCCCTGACCGGTGTTCTCAGTGGTTTACATTGGTTACAGTATTCATTGTTATTCAGAAGAATGGTTTGGGCCCTGACCGGTGTTCTCAGTGGTTAGAGAGCATCAGCCCGTGCAACAAAGGGTCACAGGTTTGATTCCCGGTCAGGGGCTCATACCTGGCTGGGTTTTGGGTTTATTCCCCAGCATGGTAGTGGCATATACAGGAGCAACCAGTTAATGTGTCTCTCACATCAATGTTTCTCTCTCTCTGTTTCCTGCCCCCCCCCCTCCCTTCCTTCCACTGTCTCTAAAAATCAATAGAAAAAAAATATCGTTGGATGAGGATTAACCAAAAAAAGAGTGGTTTGGGGCAAGAGTGGCAAGAGAGAGCTCATTAACATGTTTCCTGGAAATCTAGTTTTGCCAACCAGAGAGGAAGCAACTTATTCATTGGAGGGCAAGTCATTAACTCAGTGAACTTCACTTAGCACCTGTGGTGTGGCAGTTGCCATGTTAGTGGATATATGGAATCAAAATGCAGTCCCTGACTCACAGAGATTGCTGTTTGTGTAATTGTAGTTTGAGGTGAAAAGTGTTAGGGGGCTGCATAAGTGCTCTGGGGATGTGAGGGGTGTCTTTATCAAAGCCTAGGGCCAAGGGCTGCCCCAAAGAGGGGTACTCTCACTGTGTTTAATAATAGGACAATTAGTGAGCCAGCTATTAAAGAGGGAAAGAATATTCTGGGAAGAAGGAACAACCTGAAGGGCACAAAGAATGTGTGCGATAATGTCACTACAAGAACAAAATGTCAGCCAGTGCTAGTATTTTTGTACTTATTTTGAAAAACAGTAGAATCTAGGAATTAGTACTGGTATTTCATTTTTTAAGAATTAGTACTGGTATTTCATTTGTAGCCCCATTTTTTAAAGAATTTTTTAAAAAATCAGTAAAACTAAATATTTGGTGTGTTTCAAATAGAAAAAGCAATGTTTAAGTACCCAGTAAAAAATATATATATTTTAAAAATAAGTATTAAATGTCCATTATCATTTTAATATAAATGATTAGATGAGAAGAATAAAAGCATTACTAAAAATACAAATTATTAACTACATGAATATGAAAATCTATTAGATTATTTTTAAGTATAGTCTTTAAGAGGCTCCCATGATTTCATTTAGTTGTGAATATACAGGGGTGGGCAGAAGTATGTTTATAATTGTTCATATGGAAAAAGACATGGGTTATGCTTATTATAAGAACTTTATTACCACTGTTTCGTGTACTCACTACTGTAAAAGAACTTTTGCCCACCGCTGTATTTTTGTGCAGGATTTTCTGTAGACATTTTTTTTTGTTGTTTTATAGCCATAATAATTGCGAGAAAATAAGGAAAATAATTAGAAGCTAGTTCCAAATATTTTGCTTTGGTTCAATAATTTTTTAAAAATAATTCCTCTTATTTGATAACTTAGAGGAGGTCTTTTCAAATGTAAGAATCGGTAATACATTGATAGTAAGTTCTAGTTTTTTGTTTCAGAGAAAGCATTGTTGATTTGTCTTTATCTTCTTTGGTTTTTGTCATGTATGTAGAAATTCTGATGCAGTTACCCATATAAAAATAAATATTGTTATGTCATATTCCATTGTTTAGAAGGTACTTGTGATAAAATAAAAAATATTTTTGCAAAGAAGTGTTAAAATACCATAGTGTATTGTAGACTATCTATTAGTTTGTCCTTTCACAGATTTCTAAAAAAATAATGAGGTGGTGGTATTAGACCAACCTAAAATATTGGCATATCGGTTTTTAAAAATATCACAGAATACTAGCAAATGAAATTTCAGTCACTAAAGGTATGAAATTGTAGGAAAAGCTTGGGTAAATAAGATGTGGCCTGGGTGGCATGGCTTAGTGGTTGGGTGTCAACCTATGTACCAGGAGGTCAAGGTTCGATTCCTGGTCAGGGCACATGCCCAGGTTGTGGGCTCGATCCCCGGTGTGGGTGTGTGGGAGGCAGCCGATCAATGATTCTCTCTCATCATTGATTTTCTATCTCTCTCTCTCTCTTTCCCCCTTCCTCTCTGAAATCAATACAGATATTTAAAAAAATAAGATGTGTATGTGGCAAGAGTAAGTGTATAGTAGCAGGGTACCTAATTCAAGAGAGGAAAGAGTTCAAGCAAAAGTGGTCTTCAGCATCCAGTTCTATAGAGAGACAAAGTAAGATAGGTGTTCTTTTAACTGACACTCTAAAGGTCAGTGGCAACATTAGTTTTAGTGAGGCTAGAAGCCAGATTGTAGTGGGCTAAAATGTGAATGGTGGACTCCATGTTGCCTGATGAACTAAACATATGTATTTACTTTGGTTGCTTCCTGAAACCATACTAAAATGACAACAAAAGGAGTTTTGAAAGGTCTAAACCTATAAGGGCAAAGAAAGCAGAAAAGAGATGATAGTCACAAATTTTTTGGAAGTTGGAAAGTAGATAAATGAGTAATAACTGAATTAGCTCATTTGAGAAAATGGAGTCTTAAGCCCAAGAATTCTGAAAAGATGTGGAAATTTATGGCACCAGATTCCTCTTCTGGAAGTGGGGTGTAAAGGTGGAGCAAAAAACCAGGAAGATTGATAGAAAGTTTGTTTAATCCTCCAGTTCTCCCCTCCCTCATTCTGTGTATGCAGCTTCACAGTAGACAACTTCTCATCCTCCACCCTAGCAGAAGATTGGAGGTTTAATCTCTGAAGAGGATTAAATAGAGGAATATCTCATTTAAGAGGCTAGACATAGCTGAGGACAGTGGCCATACTAATAAGATTACTGTCTTAGTCAGCTTAGGCTGCCAAAACAGAATACCACAGACTTGGCAGCTGGTTGATGGGGTGGGATGGTTTGTGACATGAGATATAAAGGAAACTCGGTTAGATGCACATATAAATGGGTAAGCATGAAGTTTAGATAGCTCCCACCCAATTATTTATAGTGAGGTCACAAATAAGACCATCCAGAGAAAATATGGAAAGTTTGGAACGTATGTAGAAGAGATGAGAGGAAGCTGACAACATAGGATTGCTGGACAGTATCAACCCAGTTAAAATTAAAACCATGCTTTTAGTTGATATGTACTTTTTCCTATAGCTGCCTAGATGTGGGAGCAGAGAAGGCAAATGGTTAGATTCAAACACAGTTTACTAAACACTAATGTGGACGAAGTATACTTGTGGCTTTAATGCGTTTCTTCAAGCCTTGTTTTTGGTTTCAGTTCTTCCTCATAGTCCCGGACCTCTGGGCTTTTAGAAATGTGGTGTGTACCCACAGACTGAAAGCTGATTGCTGAGGTAGGCCAGGAGTTCCCCCAGACACTGCCCCAGACTGAGTAAGACCTCAGGTACCCCTTTCTGAGGGCCCTTCAAATACCGTCACCTTGGGTTTCAAGGGCTTCTGGAGCATTTGGAGGGGATTCTCACTTCATCCCTGGGCTGCTGCTTATAGATTCTCCAAGAGAGCCTGTGGTAGCTGTCCCTCATATTCATCACCACCAATAGTTTTATATATTTCATATTTTTAGTGGCCTGGACTATGAGGTAGAATAGATGGAGAGATATGGAGCTATCTAACTTTTTTCTTGCTTACTCCACTTGCTGTCTTATGATGTCTCTAACTTAACACATCCAAAATGCAGCTCTCGCTTTCTTCTCTCACCCCTAATTCCTCCCCTCTCCTTTCCCCATCTCAGAAAACATTACTACTGAGCAAGTTCTTTTGACTTTATCTCTAAAATATCTTGAATCTACCCACTTTTTTTCATCTGTCCTACCTCTTAGACCAGGTCTCATTTCACCTGGCCTAGGGCAACATCCTTCAGTTGCTCTGCCCTTTTTGTCTGGTCTCTCTTTTCCATTCTCTATGTGAAAGGACACACAGTCTTAAAATGAAAACTGCTTAAAACCATTTAGGGGTTTCTCGCTGTAATTACAATGCCAGTCTGACTTGGGCTGCAGGCAGACAAGATCTCTCAGCAAAGCCTTATTTTCTTCTCTACCTTCACCCCAAGCTCATCTTTTGTTTTTATTTCTCACCTGGGGACATGCTTAGAGTAAGGAAGGGAGAGAGAGTGATTGGGAAACATCAATTGATTGCCTTCCGCACATGTCCTGGACCGGGAATCAAACCCTCAACCCATGTATGTGCTCTGACGAGGAATTGAATCAGCAACCTTTCTGTGCTCGGGAGAATGCTCAACCAACTGAACTTACTAGCTCATCTTTTAAAGGACCTTACTGAAGGCCAACAGAACATGAACATCCTGGTATTCCCCCCCCCCCTTTTTAAATGTCCAATTCAATGGTTCTGGATTTTTTTAAGTAATCATTTTACTAATATTACATTTTCCTAATCTCTTCCCAGGGTAAAACAGGTAACCTTTTAATCAGTTATTTCATAACTACCTAACAAAGTGGCACTGGCTTCCTAACCTAAAGCAGTAGGGGCCTTACTGCCCTCTGGCCTACTTCCTCTGCTCAGCAGTTCCTCATTGTAGAGTTTATTATAATATTTCCACTTAGTTACTAAATTCAGTATCAGGACATTTGGGGCTGAGTAACCCCAAACAAAAATCGTAACAGGCATCAAACAGAAAATGTTACGATTTCACCTAGGACTACAAGGAGGGCAGGCTATAGGGCGGTGACCTCAGCCGCTATTGGGAGGAAGCCAAGTCCTTTGTCCCTGCCGTCTTTCCTGTCAGCTTTGCCCCCGGCTGGCTTCTCTGCAACAAGCCTTCTGCAGCAGTTCCAGGCAGTTCCAGATACAGCAATCTCAGAGAGAAGAAAGCCTGTCTTCTCTGTCTTAGGAGCAAGGAAACCTTTCCCAGAAGCCTCCCTAGCTGATCTCATGTCTCAGTGATCAGAAGTTGGTCACTTGCCCATTCCTAAACCAATCACTAGCAAAGAGGATGGTTTACTACTAAACTAATCAGTTTCCTTTCCTGAAGTTTGAGATGAGGTCAGCGTCCTTTGCTGCACATGGCTGTGTGGAAGCAGATAAGTACACAAAATGTTGGGACTCACTGGAGAAGGAAGAAGAGGAATAGGCAGCCATCAGTATTAGGTCATCTAATATATAAATAGATCTCACTTGGGAAATGAATTTAGCTTTTATTAAGTACCTCCTACATGGTAGACACACTTAGGACTTGTGTTCATTATTTCATTTAGTCATCATAGCAAACCTGGAGGAGCAGATGATGGAATAGGCTCTGTAGCGATTGGGCCCAGACAGCTATGCTCTAGCACAGTGGTTCTCAACCTTCCTAATGCCGCACCCCTTTAATACAGTTCCTCGTTGTGGTGACCCCCAATTTCATTGTTACAAATTGAACATAATTAAAGCATAGTGACTAATCACAAAAATAATATGTAATTATATATGTGTTTTCCGGTGGTTTTAGGCCACCCCCGTGAAAGGGTCATTTGACCCCCAAAGGGGTCGTGACCCACAGGTTGAAAACCACTGCTAGCACATAGACCAGAGCTTGGTGCCATCCTCAAAACCCATGGTATTTCCATTACCTTCAGGTAAACAGCTAGAGCTAGAACTCAAAAAAACAAAGCCAAAACCACATTTGTTAAAAACAGAAAGCATAGCAGACTTTCAGATGTTCTTAGCCAGGACACTCTTGTTTTGTTCTGTTAATCCTCACCCAAGAATTTTTTTCCATTGTTTTTCAGAGAGAGTGGAAGGGAGAGACAGAGAGAGAGAAACATCAATTGAGGGAGACCCTGATTGGTTGTCTCCCGCACATGCCCTGATTAGGGCTTGGGATCGAACCTGCAACCTAAACACATGCCCTTGACTGGAATCAAACTGCCTATGGCAGCCATGATACTCTTCAAACCAAATTTCACCCCCACTTAAAGAGTGTAGCTGCTCTAATTAGACAGGACTGGGATTTGTTCTGAGCTTCCCCCTGTGTAGCCTCCAAGGTGCTTCTGAAGCTTCCTGGAACATGCTGCAGACACCATCTGCCACTGTAACCCCATTACTGTTTGTGTGTAAAAATGGGGGACAGATGTATGTAGAACTTGAGGCAATGCTTGGAATTGTCAACAAAGAATGGGGAGATGGGATGCACAGACAAGTAGCTGAGTGTTCCCAAACAAATCCTAGATTTGTTTATTTATTTATCTACACCACTCCACACTCCCTGGTTCTTTCAGACCTCAACTCCACCCCATCCTGCTTGCTTCCATGTCTAGATCTAATTATCTAGATCTAATTTTTGTCATGTAATCTACCCAGCTTGAACTTGGTTGGTGACTGATGGATCATGGGCTTTTTCTGTGATGGACCTGAACCAGTAATTTCAAAGCTTCAAAATGGGCCCAGAAGTCGTTATATCATGTCTTTTCCAAAGACAGTGGTGAATCCAAACCACGCATCTATCAATTAGTCCTGTGGCATAGCCCTTTTACACTCAATAGAAAACTTAGAAAATTTGGTTCTAGTGAACATCTGCCCAATTTTTTATGTAAGTGGTGTTTTCTGTCAAATTAGTTTCAAAATATCAAGGGTCAAATTCTTTTTTTTAAAACTTTTTTTTATTGCTTAAAATATTACAAAGAGTAGTACATTTGTCTCCTTTTCTTTTTTTTTTTTTTTTGTCCCTTGACCTTCCCCCAGTCTCCCCTACCCCCCAGTGTCTTGTGTCCATTGGTTATGCTTATATGCATGCATACAAGTCCTTCGGTTTATCTCTTACCCCCCCCCCCTCCCAACTTTCCCCAGCCTTCTTGCTGTAGTTTGACAGTCTGTTTAATTCTGCTCTGCCTCTGTATCTATTTTTGTTCATCAGTTTATAATGGTCTTTATTATCCATAAATGAGTGAGCTCATGTGGTATTTTTCTTTCACTGACTGGCTTATTTCACTTAGCATAATG